ATTATCAAATCGGCCACACAAGGCTAACACTGTGTTGACGTCAGAACTCGGTCACTCCTAATACGGTCTATGAAGCCACGTCCTGTGTACATTTCCGGTCCGTCCTCATGTTCCCTTTTTATAACTAGATATATCTTGTTTTGTGGATTGATTATTTTACTACAAATCAGGAAATGTTTGTGATTTAGCTGCTCCCTCCTCCCTCTACTGGTGACTGGGTGTAAACACAGCCCTGCAACATTCACTGGGGTCAAAAGAACAAGAGCAAAAGGACCACCGGAACAACTGGCTTAATATCAACAATACAAAACACAAACACTATAATGACATCTTTACAAAGTCCGTGTTTCCGCGAGTGATTCTGTCGTCACACGTCGTCGGGAATGGACTGAAAAGCAATACAAGGGCCGACTTCATCTTGTGCGTTAAGGCAGTGCTGCTTCCACAATACGACAAAAACATACAAAAGTGGACGAATAAATGAAGCTGAAATATACATTATTAGTAGTCTATAAATTAACATAATAAGTGCTAAGTTGTTGTGTGGTCGTGACCCTGTTTATAACTTTCACATGTTCACTTCACAATAACAAAAACATTTGCATTATAATGAATGTGCATGACAGGTTTGTGCTTTTGTGCTTTTGCTAGATAAGTCACAATGTTATTATGTTTTTAAATTCGACTTCCTGTTTGAAATCGCACTAGGGATTCCTAGGACGCATCCAAAATCTTTCCTTGTCTCCTTGGCCTGGTGCTGCTATTGTTCAGCTGTCGATTATGTCATAAAAACAGCACACAAGTCCAAAGAGTTTTCAGAATTGTTACCAGCAAACACTTTTGTAAACATACTGGATAATAATGGAGAGATAATAATCGTGACACACCCATATCTGTTTTTGTATTATAAATGTCAGCAAAAAGGTTCTGTAAATTGCGTCACAGTGCCAACTTCAGCTCTGCCAACATACTGTAGACGTGTGGCAGAGCATAAATCCCTTGCTTCTCGTTGTGAAGCACTGGAACTCTGGAATCCAATTTTTATTGTTTGTTTCTGATTGTATGACTCTAATGTCTTAGGTCAGTAACCATGTATCATTCAGCCAACTTCAGCTTTGACAAATGTGAACCAAATACACATGTCGTACCTAATTTTAAAGCGCAGGACGGCCTGTGTTGGCCCTCTTACTAACAAGTTTGGACACCCCTGTAGTCTTGTGATGTCATGAAAGATTCTTGTTACTTTCCTTCATGAACTGCTTCCTGATTGGTGCAAAACTATAGCTTATATTTACAACAGGTGTTACTCATGGATGTGTTATATGATCTGGAGAGGGGATTTTTTTTGCTTAAACCCGTCTCCACATGGACAAGGGGCCACCCACGGCACTGTAACCCAAATCCACATGGGCTGCAACCATAACCCTAACCCCATGGACCTCAGTGTTAACCAAAACGGCTCTGCCCCAGGTGTCAGGGAACCTACAGCTTTCAGTGTCAATTGTCATCCTGAACTTATTTTCTTTTAAAATTCACAGGTTTTCAAGACCACACCTGTTAATACAGAAGTAAAACACCTACTGCGCAAGACCGTGAGAAGACAATGGGATTTTGTATCAATATAAGGGAAAATCGTAAAACCTGTCATGTACCACATTATAGTAAGTGCTGGAATTGTTTATATATTAAAAGTACATCATAAATCAGTCCCATATCTTACAGGAAAACTATGGGCATTAAAATAATCCACTAAAATAGTTTAAAATAGTTTGAATGAGTAAGAAATGGCTGATTAGAGTGGTGATTTTCAGAGCTTATACAACAGTACTGCATACATTCATGAAACCACTTGAGACCTGGTTGAAAAAGTATCAAATATATCAAAAAATAAATGTTTAAAGCTGGTCTGCAGTGTTAGTAGGAGGTAAAATGAAACTGCCAGTTGATGTGAATGTAATATTTGAGAGCTGACTCAAAATAACGAAATAGAGGAAAGCGTTTTTTTCCCCCCCTGCGTCACTGCTCCTCAGGCACCGCCATGAAGACCTTCTGACAGAACGTGGTGAAGATTTCTGCGGAAAAAAGTGCAAGAAAATGATGGAATTAGTTATAAAGGTTTGACACAACAGCTACGACTAATACTGTAATCAGGTGTGAGGTGGGGTGGATTATCTCTGTTTCTCACCGAAACAGATTTATACAGATTCAAAGCTAATAAATAGAAATGTAAAATTTTTGTTTTGGTCATTTTTTAGAGATCCTTAATGGTAACACATAAACTTCTATTTCCATTCATCGTTGGAACGTGTTTTCAAGTTTCAAAGTATGACATAATTGAGGATCTATGGAGAGGTCAGACTGGCCCACTTCATGCACGGTTGCCCAGGAATTTACTGGACCTGGAGGCTTTTTGCTAACAAGAATGGGCAGCTTTACCATCAGAGGATCCCAGAGAGAGACTATGACACCAGAGAGAGAGACTAGAGAGAGACTAAAGGGAGACAAGAGGGAGACAAGAGAGAGACAAGAGAGGCCAGAGAGACCAGAGAGAGACCAGAGGGAGACCAGAGGGAGACTGGTATAGACTGGTTTTAAGACAAAATTCAAACGTCTTTTTTGCAGTGAGGAAACTTCTAATCAGAGTCATTTAGGCAGTTTCTGTTGTCATTATTTGTAAATATAAAACAATTAAATGACAATTAAATGTGTCTTTGAATGTATTTTGCCATAGCCCTAACAACACCAGTCGTCTCAGAGGACTGAAAAAAAATGTATAGGGTCAAACTGTGAGCACACAAGAAACGGAATAATTGTAAACACGTTGGAGCCATTGATCCCTAGGGAGCGAGATGACCACTGTCCATAAATGTTGATAACCGTTCATATCACTGTCCTTAGACCCTGCTGCGGGGGGTGAGGGGCAACTCAAAAACCCAGTGGGAGTAAATGGCCTTAACAATGAATCTTACTATTTTTCAGCATTCATGATCTCCAAAATATGGCAAAACAAATGATGATTTCTATCAAGGTGAAGACAACTATACACATACTACTCTCCCTGGTTTGGACGATAATAGCCTTTCCAGATGGAAAACCTCAGGTGAAATTGAAACACCTTTTCAGATAAATCCATTCGTCTCCGTTTCCAAAACAAAAACATGACGCGGGTCCAAAGCTCACAGTGTCCGGCGCTCGCAGCGAGGGAAACGGCTCTTGTAGAATATTAGGTTCACACTGGAGCCACGGCCCGCTCTCCAACAGGCATCCAGATACAAAGACAACATTCCCATCTTGTTTGTAGTTCTACTTATTTATTTTATACCCATATTCTGAGGGTTTTTTTTAAATAAAAGCTTGTTTCCATGGAGACATTGTTCCTTTGGCTGTAATCTTCCACAGAATGGCATTAAATATACAGATTTCTCCATATGGTCTGAAATTTTTACATTTTGTGGAATCACGCAGATGATTCTCCAGAAAGTTACGTGTTTATCTTGTATCCTAATTATTTTGCTGTTTTTTGTGCGTGAAATGTGAGTTCCCCAGTTTGAAGTAAAAATAATAATGACATATTAAACAATAATACTAATAATGCATGAAATAAAACACAATATTGAAGACAATCATATATCAAAGCACTATTTTACTCATGCAGTAGAGTATTCTTATATATTTCTACAAAGGAATTGATACAAACATTTTGTGAGTTAGGGTTAACAGTGTTCCAGTATTTAAAACCGTGACCTCCCTCTTCCCTTGAGCTCCAGCTCCGACAGCGCGCCCTGTACTCACCCAGCATCTTGCGCACCATGTGAGGCTTCTTCCACTTGTACCCCAGCAGGTAGGCCGGCACCCCCGTGAGGATGATCCCACTGCCTAACAGACACTCGAAGGGAGCCGCCCAGAACGACACCACGATCATGAAGACACAGCTCAGCACGAAGGTCACCGGGATGAACAGGTAAATCTGGAACAAGCAGAATTTCTGGACTTTATGGACTTTTACAACAGAATGGTGTAGAACAGGCATGTCCAAACTCGCCAATTGCGGCCCGCTGTGTCATTCTATGTAGCCCAATGCCTTACTACCCCAAAATTTCGTTGAGATTATAAACATAAATTCATAGAGTTCTCCAATACAGGCAAGGTATACCTCAATGTAAAGCCCAGGCATTGGTGCACTGACATTAGTTTTTCATTATGGCTATTCAACTAACCTCAGCTCTTACAGTCTCAAAATAGAACAATTCTAGTCAAAATAGTTTTACAATCAGTGTTGTCGGCCCCTGGACAAGTCTAAATTGGCCCTCATAGTTAAAAGTTTGGACACTCCTGGTGTAGAATGTCAAACATACAGTATCTCCAACAATTGAATATATTTATTTTGTGAGTGAAAGAGTGAGTGAGTGCCTCGTGAAGCATTTTTGAGGGCCCAAAAAAAGCACTACAAAAAACAAAACATTATTATTGTATTATCTTATCTATTATCTTAAATAATACATGTTCTCGCTTCTCAGCAAGAAGGTCCTGGGTTCGAATCCCCGTCGTAACAGGGTCTGCATGTTTTCCCCTGTCTTGCGTAGGTTTCCTCCGGGTGCTCCGGTTTCGCCTACCAGTAAAAACATGTACAATAGGTAAAATCCTCCAGCTGCGGTTTATCTTATCTTATTGTCATAGTCTAAGGATGTGTTTTAGCAATACAAGTTTTAAAACAGGGCATTTAGAAAGAAGGGATGGGGGAACGGTTTATTCCAAAAGCGATGTGATGATGACATGGATTCTTCTTGGTGTAAAGCTGGTTAGTGATAGCCTAGCCCTGGTATATTTCTGGTTCTATGTTAAATTAAGCAATGTTGGTTTAGCTTTTGGCCTTTTATTTGATACCGATAAAAACAAACATATGACATAATTACAATACTAACAAATGCTCAAATTGCTGTTACAAAAAAAAATCTCAGTGACTTCTGTGATGTGAGTAAGGACACACAGTCAGGCTTTGTGGAGTGTGGTGAGGTGTAAGTGGGTCCTTTAAAAACAAATGGACAGAAACACAGACTGAGAGATGAAAGGCTGTGCTCAGACATTCTCATGATCAGAGACAGAACAGCCTTTGTTTGAGGCGAAGAGGAGGCAGTGCTTCATGGACACAGTGTGACACCACTGTAAGCAATAATAAAGCAGCACAAACTTCTCCAATCCCTGCTAACCTCTTCTACACCTGCAGAAATGTGTTTTTCTCTTGCTCTGTCAGGGATAATCAATGCAGTTCAAAATAGTACAACATGTTATTTTCATAACCAAATGAAAACCAGATGTTATTGACAATGTGTGTAATGTAATATGTAAAAAAGAAAAGTCTATCTTGTAGCCTAACTGTTTATTTTGTCCAGAACAGAAAGAGTTGTGTAAAAGTATAAATGCTGATTGAGCGAGGGGGGGTCCTGATTGGCTGAGTGAGGGTGGTCGTCTCTCTCTTTCGCTTTTTTATCTGAAAAAGCTTATCCAAAGATGTTACAGAGACCCAATTCTTGGGTTTCATATGACGTCAGGGCAGTGGCGCGAATAACAAACGTAGTACAGGATGTGACGTATCCTGGCGGTGCAGTCTGCCGGGTTTATACATGGGGATATAGTAGAAGAAGAAAGCGCTGTCTTTTTCTGCGGTGTACGCTTGTAGCAACCGCGCAAATACAGAGAAAGACAAGAGTTTCTTCCGTGTTCCAACTGTGGTCTCATATAAAGGAGTACACTTTGAAAAATCACTCGAATGAGGCGGGAGGTGGATTAAGGCTTTCCCAGATAAGCGCCCCCTGCAGGCCACCCCAAATGAAACGCAGCAATTTCTTCTGTGTTTTTTTTTCCAAAAATGCCCGATATCAAGACTCTTTTGAGAAATAGTTTTAGTACTCCCTTAGAAATGAGGTTCCCCGATTAAGACTGTTACAACAACCGTAAACTGCACAGGATGAGAGCCTTTTGACTCCAAAACAGACAAGATTTATATGTTTTCAATGGGAGCAAAACTGAGTTGTCCCACCGCTGCTCATTCGCCCCCTACAGGCCAGTTTAATGAAACCCAAGAATAGTATATGTGGAGTTTATTAGGTGGTTTGAATTGTCTTTAAGATAAAAGAAAATGTACAATAAGCTTTTATTGCCACAGTAATTATATTCATTTGAAACTGTACCTCAAGAGGAAAAGACTTTTATTAAGTTAAGATTATCAAATTAGTCTATTAAAGTGTCAACACATTTCAACTTTATTTAGCCACCTGGAAAATCTCTTTTCCAGGTGACCAGGCTCCAGAGAGAGGGGAGTTTTGTAAATCTGTGCAGATACAGGGAGAAGATGCAAACTCCACACAGAAATGGGTGGATCCAAACAAGATTCTAACCCAGGAGCTTCTTGCTGAGAAGTGAAAGTGCTAATCATTCTGCCACTGTGCCACACTGTGCAATAAATGGCACCAATTTCATACTTTTTACCTGTATATTGTGATTCGAGTTCATAGCTCTGCTGTTGTAACATGGTTAAACGCTGAAAAAAGACTGTTTTGCATTGATGCTGTCTGTGTTCTTTAATATAGTTACCATACATATACTAATAAGCAAGGCAATTTAGCACAATTCATACACAAGGCAATTCAAAGTGCTGAACAAAACAAGATAGCATTAAAAAATCACATAACATAAATAATCACAGTACATTGAAAAAAAGATAAAAACATAAAATCCTTCAGTTGTATGCACAGCTAAACAGAACTGTTTTTAACCTGATTTTAAACATTGTCAGAGAGGAGGCCTGTCTCACATCTTCAGGAAGATTGTTCCAGATTTTAGCAGCATGAATCTGAAAAGCAGCCTCCCCATGTTTAGTTCTGACTCTGGGCACTAACAGGAGTCCAGTCCCTGTGCTCCTCAGAGTCCGGGCTGGTTCATATGGGACTAACATGTCACTAATATATTTTGGTGCGAGGCCATGGAGAGACTTGTACACAAGCAGAGCTGTTTTAAAGTCTATTCTCTGAGCCACAGGAAGCCAGTGCAGAGACCTGAGAACTGGACTAATGTGGTCGTACTTCCTGGTTCTAGTCAGGACTCGAGCTGCTGCATTTTGAATGTACTGCAGCTGTTTTACAGCCTGTTTGGACAGACCTGTGAGCAGGCCATTGCAGTAGTCTAACCTACTGGAGACAAATGCATGGATAAGAATCTCCAAGTCTGCTTTAGACACTATGTTTTTGATCCTGGCAATGTTTTTTAGATTGTAAAAGTGGTCATGGACAAAGATTTGTTCCAACTCACTCTGGTTTAGATTGAATGACATTGGAAAACAAACTCCTCTAGCCCAGGTAACCATTACAAATCTGCGGATTAGCGCTCTTTATGATTCTGTTATTTATAAATTGACGTTGTATTCAGAAAATCCAGATATGAGCCATTAAGAATTTATTAATCAGATGCCTCTAAAACTCCAGGTTGCCATAGCTACCGTCTAAGTAACGTGTCTACCCCTGTTACGGTGCAAAATGCCCATATCAGAAAATTGGCTCCAGCTATCTAATGATCAAACCGGCCTCTCCTGCATTAAGGCTAACACTATGGTGATGTCACACTCCTGATTTCGATCTCTGTTACTGAGTGTGGTCTGTACCTTGATGGGCCGCCTGATGTCCGGTTTGGTGAATCGCAGCCACAGCATTCCGGCGATGGCGGCCCCCACACACAGCCACGTGAAGAAGCTGAAGAGGTTTATGACCGAGAAGATGTCCTGAGAGATGGTGTACATCATGGACAGAATGCACTGGAACCGCACAACACACACATTTGTCATTTCATTTGTCGTAGATGGTTCAGAATATCTATGCAGTTGAACACAATCCAAAATTACAACAGCAAATAAAAGCCTACAACAGAAAAACGAGACGTCAAAATAGATGCGTTGGAATTAATAGCGAATGTTTTGTGGCACTAAAACAGATCTGGTTCTTCAAAAAACTACTTGTTCAATAGCAAATTGTCAGCCTTTCAAACATTTATTTTCTATTGGCACTTACTTATTTATGCAAATTAATATTAAAGCTGGACTAACCCACTTTGTGACTTTGAGCACATGTGGGCGCTGCCCTTGCCCCGCACTCAATCTTTTTCTTGCTTTTTTTCTACCTGAGATGTTGCTGCAGTACAGTGTTCATGATTTTGCACTGGTGCAGACTGGAAAGGAGAGATTCATGGTTCAAACCAAGTAGATCAGGTGACAATCCACTGGCGGAATGCTAACTTTTTGAAAAATGCTAATGAACCATTCAGCATTTTAGTTTGGACAAGAGCAGAGAAAATGCTCCGAACCAAGCGGCTTCTCCACCATGTGACATGTCCTGCTCCCGAGGCTACTCCAACTCTGCTGCTGTGAGAATAAATGTGCACTTTCTGTAACTTGGTTTTTAATAGTTAGAAGAGGCCGTTGAGACGTGTGGCAGCGAGTCACTGCACGAGAGCATCCGATGCCATTTTTTCTTTCTTTAATGGTAAATATTTTTTACCAACAGAAAAACTACATATTTGAGAATTTGTAAAGAAAATTCAGACAACATAAGGCCTTTTTATAAAGTCATTTTACCTACTGCAAAATTGATTAACTTTGTTTTCTGTTGGAATAAAATCAGAAGTGAGTGTGACTTTCAAATGTGTGTGAATGGGTCTTTATGACTGTGGCTGTTCTGCTAAGGGTGACATGAGGACTCAAGTATTAATGCAAACAATAATACTGACGACCACAGTCTAGCATCGGCCCAAAGCAGAAATATCTCAGAAAGTATTTAAGTTATATCCACAGAAGGTATGTTGTATGGAGTGTTGAGTGTCAGGCTGTTTTCACAATACGCCAGGAGACTGGGTGGTGGTCGGAAACAATGTATGGTAACTACTTCTAAATTATATTAATGTACTCAACATTTTCTAAAGAGTGATCTCTATCACATGACCAGACTGTTTGTTTTTATCAGCTGCAGTGTGAGAAAGGCTCTTACTGTGAAGATGAGGGAGGGCACTGGTGTGAAGAGGTCTGTGTGGACCAGGCCCAGAGCAGCAGGGAGCTGGCCTTCTCTGGCTCCAGCGTAGAACAAGCTGAAACACAGAGACATGTACTTTACAGCCCTTTCACAACATATTGCAGCACTTTCACAAAACATTACAGCACTTTACAATCACTTTCACAAAACATTACAGCGCTTCACAGCACTTTCACAACATATTACAGCACTTTACAGCACTTTCACAAAACATTACAGCACTTTACATCACTTTCACGACATATTGCAGCACTTTACAGCACTTCACAGCACTTTCACAACATATTACAGCACTTCACAGCACTTTACAGCACTTCACAGCACTTTCACAGCACTTTCACAACATATTACAGCACTTTACATCACTTTCACAACACATTACAGCACTTTCACAACATATTACAGCACTTTCACAACACATTACAGCACTTCACAGCACTTTCACAACATATTGCAGCACTTTCACAAAACATTACAGCACTTTACAATCACTTTCACAAAACATTACAGCGCTTCACAGCACTTTCACAACATATTACAGCACTTTACAGCACTTTCACAAAACATTACAGCACTTTACATCACTTTCACGACATATTGCAGCACTTTACAGCACTTCACAGCACTTTCACAACATATTACAGCACTTCACAGCACTTTCACAACACATTACAGCACTTTCACAACATATTACAGCACTTTCACAACACATTACAGCACTTCACAGCACTTTCACAACATATTACAGCACTTTACATCACTTTCACAACACATTACAGCACTTTACAGCACTTTCACAACACATTAAAGCACTTCACAGAACTTTCACAACACATTACAGCACTTCACAGCACTATACAGCACTTTCAGAGCACGTCATCTTGATTGTTGTTATGATGCAAGATTTGTGATGATGGTGAGAATATTCACTTTGACAATACATGTTTTAGAAGATTCATGTTTAAAATTAATTCAAGAGTCATGTTTAAAAGTGGATCACCAGAAACCCATTTACTTCTATAATGTGAAACTATGTCAGACTCACAGTCACAGTGATAAAATCATCCATAATTGACGAATGTACATATTTTTAACCACAACATTTCCATCACGAGGAAAGTGTTTAATACCAACCGAGCAGATGTGAAGAGCGAGCCATTGACCGCTCCAAAACAGGACAGTCCCACAAACACCGGGATGAGCCAGGCCATGACCCCCAGATGGTACTCTCCAAAGCTCTGTAGAAACATTCATGCGACCATCAAACAGATATTATGTTTATCTACTCCTGCTCCGTGCAACTCAACAAACATGTTCCTATTCTGTTTCTGCACAGCGGAGGTAAACAGACAGAAGCACAATGGCAGAAACACAGTTAGACATTTCTTCTCTCAATTATATTTTTACATTATATTTTGAAAGTATAAGCGCATATTGAAAGTACATCATTTCAAATATAAAGTATGGACAATAATTACAATGAGGGGGCAGAAATAAATATGTTCAAAAAGGGAATATAGGCAAGATTATGAATTCCTATGTACCGGCTGCTCCGGTTTTTAAACCACTGTCTGAAGGTGGAATTGAACCCAGGACCCAGAATCACAAGCTCTCACAGTGCAGTGGTGGGACATAGTGCACTTCCGGGTCCAGGATGAAGATATTTGTGAACAGCAGCACTATTCATCGGCTTAATTCTGTCTTTTATATCTTTCGTAACTACCACTCTTACATCACGTCTGGCTCCTTCTTTGTGGTTGACGTTCACCTAAGAGCTTATGGACACGTACCACAGCGACGGCCTCAGACTCGACCATGACTTCTGGGGAGATGGTGGTGAAATAGGCCAGGTTGGTCAGGACGTACACGACGGTCACTATGGGCATGGAGATGATGATGGACAGAGGCAGGTTTCTGTAGAAATATAAAGACAATATTATATTTTAAGACTGGGAATAATAGTAAAACATCACATCATTTCAGTGCATTTGATTCTATGCATCATGACTCCATGCATTCAGCTGCATATATTCTTGTGAGCTTTTTGGGGGGATTTTCTTTTTGGAGAGGTGATTGTACATGGAGCCCAGATGTCTGTATGGCGGCTATTGTGAATTTTTACAAATTAGATGTAGTTGTAAAACTTGAAATGCTAGTCACAAACATGCAAGACTTTATTTATACCATGTGCATAATATCAATAATGACCTGGTGTTGTTTCAATGTTCTTGCAAATTTTACAACAGCATTTTTTTAAACTTTAAGGTCCCCCATATAAACATCAGGGCAAATGTAAACATAGATATTCTTGGGATTCATATGACGTCGCGGCAGTGGCGCGAATGACATACGTGGGACAGGACCGGATGTGACGTACTCTAGCGGTGCAGTCTGCCGGGTATATACTAACGGCTTATTAACAAGGTCTTTTTGCACACTGTACAAAAAGGCAGCGGTCTGATATTTCTCTGTACAGACCGAGCAAGCGAGGTTAATAAATGTTTTATTATATGACTATTTTTAATTTGTGCAAATATCGATCGGTTTCAACTAGCAAAAACACATGCAACCAAACTGTCAAATCGTGACATGAAGAACTTGCTTATCAGATGATTGAGGTCACCCGCTGTTAGGTTCTCAATCTCTTCTGTGTCGTTACCAATGCTTTTTAGATATTTGTGAAGTATGTTCATGTCCGACTTGGTTTTCCTAATCGTGTTTTTACCTTTCTGGTCTGTAACAAAGTTGTCAATCTCTTCTTGACTGTTAGGAGTTGTGTTTTTGTCGTTTTTTGCTGTAATTACTTCCTCTGGCTCTTCGAACTCGTCCGGATAATAGAATTCACTGGAGAATGCTCCCAGTCGTCGCTCATTATTTCTTTTTACAGAGGAAAGATATCAAATCTGATACGCGCCAATTGTCATGGTAACGGTCCGAGATGGGAAAATATCAGCCAATTAGAGCGCGCGAACGATCCAAGTCATATAATAAACGGATAGGCTCATTTGCGTGTTCCCGATAATGGATGCAAGTGCGTAGGACAGGCATGTCAAAGTCAAATACATCAGAGGGCCAAAAAAACAAATTTGCTGCGAGCCGAGGGCCGGACTGGTTCAATGTTTATTAACTCACTGACTGCCAGCCTATTTCAGAACAGGTACTTCCATATTGCCAGCAGTTTCTGATGACTTTTTATAGATTTTTCAAGACCCACAGAATATTGTGTACTATGACTATCTGAAATCCGAAACCAGATTCTGAAAGAATAGACTGTCTACTTTCATCATCAAAAATAATTTTGTTTCTAGCTTGTAATCCCCAGTTGAGTAGAGGGAAGTTTTACTGAAATCACCAAAAAGCTGAGAAAAAAGAGGCACAACAAGTGCATCTAGCTGTTTTCAAACCATTCAGAGAGCGCTGCTGCCACCTGCTGGCTCGATTCAATATGCTCTCAAGCTTATCCCCAAACATATTAGATATAATAGACATCTGGGAACATGAAAATAGCGGAAAACGCAATTGACGTGATAGTGCGTCAATGGCATTTGCGGGCCGGATTTGGCCCGCGGGCCTTGACTTTGACACATGTGGCGTAGGGTGTCAACACCACCAAACACTATGGACATGTTAGCGCTTTGCAATGCATAAGTGATATAGTGATCTTTATGGATGTAATAGTGGCATCTTTTTCAGCTGAGGTTCCTAATATTCAAATGATGAAAAGTGCAGCTTTATTATATCTAACTATGTCCTTGCTCAGCTGAGTTCAATCACTAGTTTTCACATATTTCCTGTAGATCATAAAAATAGGACCCCCTCATTCACTCCTACTCTGACTGAGAGCCAATCAGCTCTCAGCCCCAAAGCGTCCAACAGTGACTCACAGGACTCTTTCTTACAAGTATATCTCATATATTTTATGAGGTTTTCTAATAAGAAGAAAGAGAACATGTTGTGGTCTGATTTGAATCTGTTGGACAAACATATATTATGCAACAAAGTTAGGTCCCCCAGCTTTACATGCACATTAGTATAAGTCTGTAGAGGTACGTCCATGCATGACAAGCCAGAGTCACTCTGGTCTGGACACAACCTTCTGCACATTTAGTCACCTCTCTGGATTGATCATCTCCTCCGTCACATAATTCAGATAATTCCTGAAAACAGAGAAAAAGAAAAAGTTAATACCTGCTTAAAGTACGTCATCAGGATCTGAATTAAGTATTACATTTTATGCACGTACTTATTCATGTATTTCTATTTATTTAAGTATGAATTTATTGAGTTTAGTCAATATGTCGTACTGCTCTGCGTTGGGGAAAAACCATAGACTGTATATATTAACGGACAGAGTCACGCCTATCTCCGCCGTTCTAACTAACGGTCCCAAAAATATGCTCTACTGGAGCAATCCAAGATGGCCGCGAGTGGTCCCGCCCACAAGAAAATTGTGAAAAAACGCATCTGCGCATGCGTCAGCCGGCGCAGCTCCATTCATTTGAACGACAGACTTCAAGAATTCACAGCGAGTAAACTAGAGTGGACCAAAAAAATCCACCCCCCTCAGCATTGACACACATGTGGAACGGAGCTTTGGGCCAAGAGCCAACCTTTTGGTCCATCCTGTAAAGACGTTTTTGAGAGGTCTGCCAATGCTATATGTTAGCATTGGCTAATTCTTCTTCTGAGTCCACCCCCATCGGCCCGGGGTGGTATTGCAAGCATGTCAGCGCATTTCATTTTGGCCACTTTTGAGCTAGGACCCTCCCCCACTGGGAAAAACTCAGGAAGGAAATGGTGGGTACTTCCTTATCGGTGAACACGTTACCACGTCAAGGTGAAGACATTCTGTTCACAAGCGCTGTGTCCCCCATTGTCATCTCTGGTTTAATCCTGGTTTAGATCATGTTTTAGTTGTTTTTGAGTGTCTTTGTCTTCCTATTTCGACGGGCTTGTTTCCCTGTGACCACTTTGCTGCTCTCTGATTGGTTGTCGCACGAATGTTCATCTCCTGCTTTTGCTGCATGCATCTAGACGCTAGACCCACTGCCTCTGCTGCGCCGCAAACGGGTGTCTGACGTGCAGGACAAAATGACATGCCGCGATGTACATGCAATTCCTCGCATGGACGGACGTCACCATTGACTTTGCATTGAAAGTCGTCGCAACACATGATCCAGTCTGAACATAGCTTTAGGCTTTAGGCATGGTCCATCTATAATATACAGTCAATGTTTCAAACATGTTTTGTGACATTATTCACTGTTCTCTTGTTTATGGGAGACCAATCATACAATGGTGTACATTAAAGCTGTTTTGGCCTAATGTACAGGATCTCTATTTTGACGTCATTATCTACAACCAAGAAGATAAAACACAAAGAAAACACATGGCTAAACTAGGATCACATTTTTAAAAGGTGTTGCTCTTTAAGTCTTACCAGCCTCCAAAGGCAAACAGGCCGCTGTACAGAGCCAGCACGATGTGATCCACTCCCCAGTTACTTCCTTCAAAGGACTTCTCTGGAGTGAGGTACGGGACGTCCCCTGGAAACACACACACACACACACACACACACACACACACCAACGTAAGATATTTGGCCAAATCTGGAGCAACTTTATAAGTTACATAATATTCCGGCTCATCATTCTCCTTCTTTAGTGTAGGGATGCACAATTGTGGCCAAATTAAATTTCTCCACTAGGGATCATATCTCATTTTTAACAATCATCAATTCTAACATATAATAAAAATAAAATAAAAACACATAAGTCCAAACACATAAAAAACATTTTTTTAAGTCTCACATTAAGGAACATGGCCTCCTGTAAGTGGACATCTGTGGGAGCCATCTGTCCTTTCCTCTGCTGACAGACGTGACATTTGGTGAAAGCCAGTTCTGTATGAAACTGCATGAGGAGAAGCGGCTCTATGACGTGTGCTCATGGCATTTGAAATCACACACCAGCTCTGTTCACCTCCAACTGTTCATTTAGATACAGAAATGTAAACAGGAGATAGTGTGAAACTGAATGTATTCATAGAGACTCGTTCTGAGAGAGACAGCTTCAATGTGATCAGGAAGGAAAAGGCTTCAAAAGAACAAATGGAAATGTTGTGTTTGCTGTGGGCCGTAGACATGATGTGGAGAATATTAACTTCATGTGTTAGAATTTTTTAAGAGGAAACAATATGGATGAACACATTGTCTGGAAATAATAATGTAATAGTTCTGGCCAAATGGCAAAAAAGTCAAATCTTGATTTTATTTGTTCAAGCTCATGAGGACTGGCTCATTTTTCCTTTAACACGCAGACATGAACGCACACACTCACACGCACATCCAGACAAATTTTAACCTTGCCTGCAAGCTGAATTCTCGCGGTATTTGTGAGTTCACAAACACTCGAGAATACATCTTGTACCGCTCCCGCTTACACTTTTCGAGTCGAACAGTGGGTGTGCGAGCCAATCACGCGCCAGTCTGGGGGTTTAGGGCGGGATATCCGGGTTTGACGAAAGCAAGAAGTGCCGGGCCGAAGCAAAACAAACATGGCTACGCAGGAGGACGGACGTGTAGCTGAGGCTATCAAGTCAGTTTTAGCAGAATCTCCAATTTCTTTTTTGAAAGATGAACAGCGAGAGGCGCTTTGTGCATTACTGGACGGCAACCTTGGTAGGCGGGCACACAGCGTCACTTCGCCCAATCAGCTTGAAGTATTCTGCTGCTTATCCCTCCTTTCCCCGAAAGGATTCTCCGGGAGAAATCCCAGATTGATATCGTGGAGAACGCGTTAGAGTTCTACACAATCATCAATCTGGCTCTTGCCAGGTTAGACAAATTTGGGTTTTGAATCCATTTCGTTTGTGTTGTAAACTGTGCAATGTGGGGGTGTGTGGTGTGTGTGTTTGTGTTGTACTGTATACTGTGCAGTGTGTGTGTGTGCTGTATCCTGTGTGTGTGTGTGTGTGTGTGTGTGTTGTGTACTGTGTGGTTGAGAGCGATCTTAAGAAAGTCTAGTTTGTCCAATGAAAGCAGCTCATAGTCTTGACTAAAGGATAAAAAGTAAGAAATTTACTCTAAAAGAATATATTTGTCCAATACAAGTGCAATCAAGACAAAAAGATAGAAGACGATTATATTACATAAATTAAAGTATAATATAGGTAATATCGTAAATGATTGTATGATACCAGGTTGCTGTGTAGAAAGTGTCTTGAGAAATAAAGTTGAATGATTGAGTTGACGAACCAAATCAGACTTTGAGGAGCTCTGGCCTCCTGCTGTTGCCCAGAGTCAGAACTAAAAACGGGAAGGCAGCATTTCACATTCATGCAGCTAAAATCTGGAACAGTCTTCCAGAAAATGTGAGACAGGCTTCTTCTGTGACAATGTTCAAATCCATGTTAAAAACAGCTGTGTTCAGCAGTGATTTACTGCATCTGAAGGAGGCCATCACTGCCTGAACTGTGCTACAAATAAACATGCTTTGGCTCGCCCAAGGTTGCTGTTTCAGACAACTTTTTGAGGACCATTCATTATATTTCAAAATCTCTCATCGCCATAGCAACTGCTCCTTATTCAACTCTACTTCAACTCGTACTTGAAAGGCAGCAGATCACTCAAAAATCTCAGATCTAACCCAAGTCTCATTCATTGTAAAAGGCACACTGTGTGATTGTTGCAGTGACCTTCTCTTCTACCTGATTCTGTTCAGATGGAAATGACGGCTGTGAAGAGGAGGCTTTAGCTGCACAGGACCGCGGCGCAGACGGCGAGCCTCGACACCCCGTTACCATGGCGACAGAGTGGAGTATAACTGTGGGCGTGGCCAAATTGTGAAAGGAGCAGATGTACATGAGCATGACCCGAACCAAGTCCCGCTGCTCCACTTTCATTCACAGAATCTCACACCAAAGAGATCACACTAAAATACACACTTTTATTTAGCTATTTTGGAATGACTTTGAATTCACTAAATCCATTATTTAAAGAGGGGGGTACCTGACTTTCAAACCAAAGAAATCAAATTAGTTCACGCTTTAGTCTCAGTATACACTAAAAACTCTCTAAGTAGCTCCTTGTTTTCTCCCAGTTTTCTCACATGCGAAGTGAAAGAGAGAGCCCCGCCCTCACCCGGCCAATCAGATCTCACCCCAAAGCGTCAGACACTTTCTAACAAGATGAAGGCAGAATGTTGTGGTCTAACATGGTCATGAAAAATCGATCCTGGGAAGAACTACTTTGACATTGAGGCTATTGTTATTTACTTGGTGATATCACATCATCCTAACAGCATCATCCTCAAGATAAATGAGAAACGAGATCAAATCCTGTCTAATCGTGTGTCCTGTCATGGAAACAGAACAGAAGCGATGCCAGACGAGGGACTGGAGGATGAGGAGCTGAGGGGGCGCTCACTGTAATGAATGAAGCCATATTTATTTACCAGTCCCTATTGTTAGACAGATCAAGTTGAACTCAGAGCTGAACTCCGGCATGTCGTCCTGTGCCTACTTTTGACTCTTGCCTATTTTACATTGTTTTGGGTTAGGGTTCTGTGACATCATGACGGGTTCTGTGACTTCAGGGCCGTACGAGGGCTGTGATTGGCTGAACGGGTGACCTCATGGCCGTACGAGGGCTGTGATTGGCTGAGTGGGTGACCTGTTGGTGTGATTGGTTCTGGTCGTGCTCTTGTCCCGGACAGAGCAGCAGTGTCCAGACTCAGTGGCTGGAAGGAGGCCAGCGTGCTCGGGTGAGTCCATCTGCCCCGGTCAACAATGTGTCCATCATTAGGAGCAAAGGAACACGGGATGAATGAGCCGTGAAGAACACCCACTTTCCACAGGCTTTGAAGACCTGCGTTTGTCCGATAAATCACCGCTAACGACTGCCGCGAGAAGTACAGCGAGTTCAGTGAGTGATTTTAGGATGGCTCTACTAAAATGTCTGTTGTGGGTCCTTTTTTGTTTTTTTGTTCATCCATCCATTTTCTTCCGCTTTATCCGTTGCCGGGTCGCGGGGGCAGCTGTCTAAGCAGAGACGCCAAAACCTGCCTATACCCACACACACCTCCTCCAGCTCATCCAGGGAATCCCACCGTGTTCCCAGGCCAGCTGAGAGACGTCTGCCATAAAAGTCTCACCTCTAAATCATTCAAATCATACCAAATAAAATACATGCTACCGAATGAATGTTTCCGTACATGTTGGTCCATCTTCCAAAAAAATGTACATACTTTTTTTACAACCAGGATCGATACAAAAAAATTCATTGAGAATTATTATTGGCAAATCTGAGAGAATCCAGACCTTTAATAATTGTAGTTAAATGCATTGCTTTATAATGAATCAATTGTTCATATATATTTAAATTATTGAATTTTAAAACCTGGTATAATGTTTTATGCTTTCAGCTATGGTGAGCATATCTATCATGAAACAGACTTTGCAAGTTAAAAATGATGTGACCGAAAACTTTTTTTTTCTTTTTTTACCTAGAATTTTGAGGGCTCTGTTATAAATCACTTGAAGAGGTTTGCGAAACAGAAAGTGTGAGAGGATCTTTGTGTGGATAACTCTGTGGGCAGTGTGGAACAGACTGAAAGTGTAAAGCTTTAAATCTGGAATCCTTTCATGCGACTGAGGTGTGAGTCCAGAACAAGCTCCAGATGTTTCATCTCTGAGACCCTCTCGAAACTATTACATCACACAGTTACATACTAGTAAATGGGCAACATGGGATTATGGGTATGTTCCCGCAGGCAAAAACACACACACACACACACACACACACACATGGTCTGTTCAGTCACAGAACTATAGTAAATAAATATTCTAGAGCCAAAGCAATTTCCTAGTTGGTGACTTCCTGTTACTCACATGGCAATAAAAATGATTCTGATTCTCACTGTTTGTAGGAATGTTGTCTTCCCAAATCAGCAGAACACAGTGAAACAAGATGCGCACAAGGACAACACTGGTTCAGCGCTACATTGTTGAGCTCAGAAAAAATCCTTGAGTTGGGAAATTCAGGAAACAGTTCCCCTCAAAAGCCCTTTAAGCGGGGGTACAAAACTTTGAAATGACACAAAAATGAACTATGTACTTCTAACTGGGACGCTGTCAACAACAGAGGACCAGACCCCCCTCAGCCAGCCGTCTCTCGGTCTACAAATTCTAATGAGACAAAGACAGTATTTTGTGTTCAGATTAAAGCATAATATACACATCTGCATTTGACCCATTCTTCAACCTATTGCTTGAACACTATAGACAGATGCTTAAACCAAAGTTACAGAACCTGAAGCTTTTGTACTAAACCGAAAACACAGTCTAACCATTCCTAAAACAAAAGTACTGCTTTGCACTTCACTTTCAATTCTGCAACACACTTTCTCCTTCTGCAACACACTTTCTCCTGCTCACTTTGTTCATAAATGCAATCCTGTGTTATCATTGGGAAACACATCTATTCAAAATACCAAACACATTGTGTGATAGAAAACACTGAGACACACACTTGATAACACTGACTTACAAAACGCGACACACATCAGCCGGACATAAACCGGCCTCAGTTTAGCCATTTTCAGACATTTGCAAGTTTAGAGGCAGGAAGAGCAAGAGAGAGGAAGAGAAAGACAAGGAGAGAGGAGGAGGATGTGGTTGAAGATATTTCTGATGACATTAGAGCAACTTTGGATCATGAGATAAACCATGGCCTCACACTGAGGGAAGAGAGACTCACAGCTGCATCATCAGGACCTTCAGATGGAAACATGTCTCCAACTCTCTACTGCAGACTGTATCTACAGTATTTACAGTACTGTACAGTATCACATGTACTGTAACTCTACTGCAGACTGTTTCTACAGTATTTACAGTACTGTACTGTATCACATGTACTGTATTGCAAGTTGGCTACTGCTCTTTTAAAAAATGACAAGAGAATGACAAGGAGACCTTCTGAAGGTGGTCAATAACAACTGTTCACCAACAGCAGGTACTTACCTTTGTGGAAATAGCAGGGACCATGATCCACAATTGCCTAGTTTTACATTCGAGTTTTTGTTTTTGTTTTACTGCATTGACACAAATGCAGTAAAGTATATTGTAGAACTGTGATGTACAGTATACTGTTGTACTGTGATGTACAAAAACAGCTCTATTGAGCTTCACAGAAACTGATAAACAGAATAAAAACAGTGAAAATGACTGCAGTGTTTTTTTATAAAGTACTGAAGTGTGTTGCTTCCAATCTGAAAGTGTTGTGTGATTATCTTGTGTGTAGAGTTTTGGGACACTGTAACACCTGCTGCTGATGCTGTCTAAACATGAGAAACTAGAGAGAGAAGAAATATTAATTTACTTTAGACTGTTAAAAATGGTAATGATTATTTTCTTTGTCATTTCATGTTTTTGAGTATTCAGCAGACAATATCTCTCGCTCTCATCTCGCTCTGGTCTCTCTTTTGCCTCCCGTCATCTCGCTCTCGTCTCCCTCTGGTCTCTCTTTTGCCTCCCGTCATCTCGCTCTCGTCTCCCTCTGGTCTCGCTCTAGCGCCGTTCTGGTCAGCAGGTCTCTGATTGGCTAAAATGCTCACGTGTCCCCAACCAGGAGAACCAGAGCTGGCCAGAATGCAACAGTGATGGTTGATGTGAAATCATGGAGCATTGAAGAACGCTCACCTGTGAATATCTGTATGAACCCAAAGAGGATGATGATGATGAGGGCCAGCAGTTTGGAGGCGGTGAAGAGGTCCTGCACTTTAGTGGCTGCTCTTACGCTGATGCAGTTCACAAAAGTCAGAGAGGCTGAAATAACACAAAGACAAACTTTAAAATGCTACAGGGGTGTGTTCATGTGCCTGGGCTCGGTGAGTGGATGCCTGAATGATTGAATCCAAAAGTGAAAGACTGGTCTAGTTCTCCAGAGCCGTGGGACAAATGAGTTTATGTGATATTCTGAATTCAAATGATTATCGTATTAGATTTTTTTAATTGGCTGTTTTTTTGTGCAACATTCTTTAGTAGCTCTGAAAACCTAAGAGTTAGTAATACTTCATTAGTGACTTCATTATTTCATTATTATTTGTTATATTATTTTGATTGATTATTAATAAAACGTAATGGGGAAATTGATTAAACCAAAACAAAACATGGAATAGTATTTCTAATTATTTGACATGGTTACAATTTAAATTATTTAGATTTTTATTAGGCCGAGCCAATACGTAGGATTGAGAAGGCCTATTGTTATTCGCCAGTTTCATATTATTTATTTTTTCCACCAAAACAATTGATTGAAGACCTGCACAAATGTTGAAAATCATCACCGTTTTCGTCCCTCGCCATGGCGAATAAGGCCTTCGTTTTGGCCATTTTTGCTGAGCCCTGAGGGCCACAGGCTCAGACCTACAGAGCTGAGACTCACATCAGTAATATTAGGTTATGGCCTGAACGCAATGACACTAAAATCATTCGCCCAATATGAGCTCTCTAGCGCCACCTGTCGGAAAGTAATAGGGCAGAAGGTTCTAGTCTTTATTTATTTATTTATTTAGAGGATAAGCCCCTAGAGATGAATAGTCCCTGCTTTTTCATCACACAGACTTCTACCATGTCATTTCTCCATCTGGACGGATTGAAGTTATATAATCATTGCAAAAAAGTCGAAAGTCGAAATTATTCATTGTTTTCATGCGAGATGGTGGGGAATTTCTTCATGTTTGATGCTTTCTTTGCCACAGTCTCAGACCTACAGAGCTGAAACTCACATCACTAACAGATGATAATGGCCTGAGCGTAATCATGTGAAAATACACACCAAATACAACTCTACAGCGCCACCTATGGGGGACTCCTGACCTAAGTCGTACAGTCAATTCTTTACATCCGTACAACAGATTACGACATTACACAGAGGGTGCATGTCCCAGAGATTTTCTGTGCCTAATACTGGTTCGGGCTGCGAATTCGTCGGCGAGTACTCTTGTGGGACTGCTGCCCGGGAGGCGGCTGCGAGAGTGGCGGCGATGAGTTTCTGTGACACAAACTACTTGACTAGTTACAAGCAACATAAGCTTTAAATAAGACAATGTACCATGAGTACAGTGCAATCAGTGCAAATCTTTGAGTTAATTAATGTGCTGAAATAGGACAACTTCAGCACATTAATGAAAAAAGATTGTTTGAAGCAATGTTGAATCAAAAGCAATGGTGTTAAACTATATTTGGCAGTAATCTTGCGACAACGATGCTCAAAATTATGTTGTGAAAAATAGTTCTGAAATCTTTGATATACTGCACAAAAACATGGAGTAAGCCCAGAGGGTCCTCTTCCTCTCCCACTGAGCCACACAGGCTGTGTCAGATTAACGTTCACTCGACATTTAACCCGCCTTGCGACAGGATGAATGTCGGAGTGAAGGGTGCGGTCAGATGGGCACAGACTCCATTCTGTCACAGATCAGTGTAGTGTTGAACAACATCTACAGGTAAAGCACTTTACAAGTGCAAGCAATTATTATTATATGACTAATGGCATAATGACAGCACCAGTGAAGGTTTGGAGTTTCTTTAATGAAGTGGTCATGGAAAAAATAATATTGTTGGGTTCCTGTGTACTGTTCCTGCTACTGTAGAACTCTTATTTTCAAAGTTGGAAGTTTGTTTTGACCCATTTATTTTGCCATGTTGTTGTATTGTAAAGCTGACACGAGTCTATACTACACTTCGACCTTTCCCAGGATCGTCCCAGATCTGACCATTCGGGCCGCAGTGGGAAACAGCCTATAGATTCTTGACACATTGTGCTCGTGCTCTGAGGACTCACTCAGACAGAGGCAGGCGATGAGCTTGGCAGCGCTGTCCGGGACGGCGCAGGTGGGGTACAGCGGTTTGAGGAGGTAGGTGGCGAACACCAGCGACACCACGTACTGCGAGGACGGTCTGATGATTAGCATCTCCACCCACAGCTTCAGGAAGGCGGCCAGCTCCCCGTACACCTCCAGGATGTACGTGTAGTCTCCCCCGGACTTGGCGATCGTGGTGCCCAGCTCGGCGTAGCACAGCGCGCCCATGGTGGAGATGACCCCGCAAACGGACCACACGACCAGCGACAGACCCGCTGAGCCCGTCTCCTTCACCACACCGGTGGGAGTGACAAAGATGCCCGAGCCGATGATGGTGCCGATTATCATTCCCACCCCATTGAACAAAGTGATGCTGCGCTTGAGCTCGATCTTCTCCCCTTTCGGACAGTCCACGGCCCCAGGGCTGTCGGGACGAGGAGGAGACTGGGGAGAGGGAGAGCGCTCCACTATGAGATCTGCCGGGTCTGTGACTCCGGCTTCTGCTGCTGGAACAGACATAAAAAAATATGTTTTATTTGTTTGAAGAGTACCTTATTCTCAAACCACAAAAAAATGGAACTCTGTAATAAAATCCATGTAAATAGTTCCTCGCACAAAAACAGTTCTATTTCTAGTTTTCACATGTATTTTCAGCTTCTTTCACAAATGTAGATCAGAAAGGTGAAAAACAGAGAGGACCACCCTCACTCAGCCAATCCGCTATCAGCCTAAAAAGTAAAATAGTGACTCAAAGGGCTCTTACTTACAGGTACTGTATGGAACATGTTTCTCCATAACATTAAGATATGTTGTGTTCTGATTTGTTCACAACATTTTACTTTCACAAGACTCTTTCTGAGTTTGGAACAGACAAGATTTACCATTTATGAAAAATAAAGTCAGGTACCCCCGCTTTAAAACCGGATGGATTTTCTATTGTTTTAAATTGGTTTTCTCTTGTCATTGATACGCTCTAATTTGTATTGAAAGCGAGAGCTGCGACACACATTTTGTGCCTGTCTCCTGTGACCACAGCCCATCAGGAAAAAACCTGCTGATCGTAACTTGGTCTGTGGTCTGATGTGATCAAGTTTTCTCTGATCTCACATAAAGGGGCAGAGTGCAGACTGATACAGCAGGACTAGTATACAGGAATTGCAAATATGAGCCACAGGTGCCAGACAGAGAACGAAATATTTTCTTTCATGTCATCTCCAAGAATTAACAATAAACAAATATGGAAAACCTAAGTATGAAGCATAATACTATTTTAACTTCAGATTTAAAACAACAAATCTGTTTTACCTAAAGAACTGGCTTATCGGTTATCAGAAAATCTAGAATGTAGAAGTAGTCGTTGTGATGGTAGTAGTAGTAGAAGTAGTAGTAGTGGTGGTGTAGTAGTAGTTTTCTTAATGAAATTAACACTAAAACAATGTAAATAAAATTACGTGGGTTTTCGTAACACTCAAATAAATGTGTATTTTTTGCCTGCACGGTCCACAATGAAATAAAATCACTAAATACCATCATAACGTGTTTCTGTATTCGCACATTTCCACTGGGTATTTACCGTAAACACAGGAAACAAACAGACCAAAATCTTGTTTAGGTACATCCTGTTCACGGTCCAGGTCACTCATCTTTTTTTCCACTGACACCCATCACTATGGCAACCCGCCCCACATCGTTGCATCAGGGCGCGAGCCAAGCGAAAAAGAAGCCGCTCCTCGCCATGTGCCATGAGGCGTGCGTAAAGCAGACATCACCTACCTCCAGTTCTCTCCTGGTTCTTGGCGAGGCTCTCCCGGCTGCTCCGTTGTTTTAACTCGGGTTCAGCCATCCTCACTGTTATATGTGCGTCCCGTGAATAGATATGTCCACCTTCTGCCCCCCTTTATCCTTCCGGCCTCCCTTTGTCCAACACTGTCCCCGCTATAATCCTGCTATTGTCGCTGCCCTCCGCAATAATTCAAAGACAAAATGAATGTATGGTCCCCTAAATAGACATGAACTCGTGCCCCGTGTTGTTTGGTCTCATCTAGAGCCCTCCGGTGTTGTTTCAGTCCCTCCCTCTGCGCGCGCATAGGGAGGAGTCCAAGTCCAGACCCAGAGCTTTGTGATGCTTGCCCCAGATCTCACACAGGGGAACTGGGTTACACCTCGGGAGAGACCATGTGGTGGCTAATCTCTCTTTGTATAGAGGCATAATCCAGTCCAGTCAAGTCTACCCTGACACATAGCGGGACAAAGATGCGCCTGGACAGTGGCTCCCTCTGGCGGCGGTGAGGTGGAGAGACAGTCTCGTCTGTGCTTTTGTTCGGAGAAAGGTGATCCTGCACGCGCAGGTTCACATGAGGTTGTTGATGGTAATAAGCAATGATGAAATAATGATGAATGAAATAAACAGACATAACTGTAGTCAACAGGAAACCTATGTTCGATGGGAGGCATCTGTTTAATCATTATGATAATAGGACTGGGACTAACACAGGCTTAGCGATAGAATCCACTGCCCTAGATAATACATGATGTCAGTGTCCACATTTAAAGTGGGCTGCTTGTTTTAAATAAAACAATAGACCGTTACACTTTCCCGCTCGGCTGTGGTTTTCCGTTGCCTTGAGCCTCTGAAAGTAGTTTTTGGGACTTTATTAATCTAAAGCAGACATGTCCTTGAAGATGTAATGTCTGAAGAAGGCCACACACAGAGACATACACGGAGTGCTGGTCACTAATTATCAGCCAGAGGAGGGAGTATCCTGTTATCGCTGACTCTTGTGATTGTGGGGGTCTTAATGAATGCCTTGGCTTAAAAGATAATGTGTTAATAGCATCTGCTGCTGTCACTGAAACGGTAGCTTAATAGTTATATATAAGAGGCTCAACCTTTATTATTAAGATATTTAAAACTGAAAATGAAAACAATCCAACGTTTGTTCGTAAAAAGGCAGGCACGCAGAGAATGAGCCCCGTTGTGTTACGCTCAGAGCGCTTCTTGCATATCTATCACCGCTGACAAAGTTGACTGGAGAACGCCCAGCTCCGCTCCCAGAGCGTCTCCGCTGATACTGCCGAGGCTCCAGTCAACACCGGCTTCAGCCGGAGCACTTTCGACCGCGTGTCCGGGGACTTTCCCCTGGGCGAGGAGGGTAACCAGGTACCCGAGAGTAGCCCAGACTGCAAGACTTCCGAGTGCCCTATAGTAAACAGGCAGACAGGGAGTTCATATAGGGCGCGCGGGGCGACTATGCCTCGCTCATGGTTGTAAGCATGGGAGAAATTTTACAGTATATTCATGTTTTTCATGAGTACATTTAAACCCATCTAGAAGTGATATACTTTACAGTTTCTCTATATTTCAGAGAAGTTTAGTGAACAAGTTTAGAGATTTATCAGAGTCTTACAGAACTCATTGATCAGATGTCCACGAGAGCACGTGTGATGAACGTAAGACTGCTGTGTATATGTAGTCTGTAAACACAGTCAATCTCCTAGAATACAGTCAATAGTTTACAGTCTATGGTCGTTCGTCCGGCTGTGCACCATGAGTGAGCCTGTTCTATGTAAACCACTGGTACATAAGCGCGCTGCATCTCACTCTCTTCCTGTGTGCGGAAGCTTATCGCAGAGGTCACATGCTGAGTGCTCGTCACTCCAATCACCTCGGGGAAGGTCTGAGACATGAGCCAATGGTCGCTCTAGCAGGGCGTCACCTGATGCAGGTGGGCGGGAGAACCAGACACAGGACTCATGCGCAGTGTTCACAGGAGACGCTGGGGGCGCACTAGAGCTCCTTCAGCTGATGTGGCTGTGCATGGGGTTGTAATCTCCCGCGGCTGGCGAATGAGCACGATGGATAAGGTGGTAACCACCAGAACCCAATTCAGACTACTCTCCGCACACCCTTTTTATCTGTAAAAGGTTAAATTCTTTGTTGCTAATAAGACGAGGAATGAGGAGTACACAACACAATTATAGTGCTATATTTAAAACAATAAAGAAATCTCTATCTAATTTCTACCACAAAGAAATATATATACATACTACATAAATCTGTTATTGCACTCTAGTGCAAGAATATTGAAGTAGTAAGTCATTTGCTCCGAGGGTTCAAATATTCACAGTGATTAAACCAGCTAATATTAGTCCAATCCTGTCCCAAAAGAAAGTATTTTTATTGTCTAATAAAGGCTACTCAATCTCTGAATGCTTTTGTTATTGTCTTTTGTTTTGTTTTTTATTACAGTACATAGAAGTAGTAGCATTGACGATGTAAATGCTTGAAGAAGCATTTACATCTGAAGGATTTTATCTGTGGTTAATTATTATTTAATCCCTTGTTTGATTTCAATGTTTTAATGTTTTTAATTTACTGTGTGATTTTAATAGTGTTTTTAATGGTGATTTTGGTGTTTGTTTTATGTGATGATTTGTGTCTTGTGTGATGCGAACTGTGAAGCGCTTTGTGTTGCACTATAGTGGATAGATAGCCATGGCCAATGCAGGTGGACAAAATATCTTGCCCTCACCATCACTCCGATTGTGTATCCATGTTATGACTCTAATATGTTCTGATTGTCTCTTGATGCGACACGTTTGCCTTTCTATGTGTGACGTATCTGTGACCTAACAAATGACTATAAAACCATGTCCTGACTTGGTTCGGTCTGAAAAAACCTGAAAAAAACTCAGTATAAACTTCCAGGAAGGCTCTGGTGCGCAACGATCCCGTCTCTCTGTCTCAAATAAAAAATTATTGATTGACTTGGATTGTCTAATAAAGGCTTTTCTTTTGTTTATTAAAGTTTATCTGGACGTACACAATTGTGAGCGAGACAACCTTTGTTTTTTTCCAAGCCTACTGTACCTCATGTCCCGAACACATCTTTTGAAGTGGAAAGCAGTAATGTGAATAGGGGCTGCATTCAGATACGTGTCCGTGGTAGAAGCCTGGAGCATGCATAACACCCACTGACATGACGCGCAGTTAGGCTCTGGTCAGCCCACAATGCATATACTCGCATTAATCATTGGATTCAAGTATGAACATGGCTTTGCGTTGATAATCGGGGACATTTAAGGAGATTTACATTTACAAACATTTGTGACATTGGTCATCACACTCCGAAGGAACCTGAAGGCATGGGTCCTTGTCTGAGGTGTGATCAGGGCCGTTTGATGTAGGGGGGTCTTTCCTGAGGCACTGGGTGAAACTCCCACCTCGGACAATACTGTTAATCTTTTGTCCCATGTCTACTTTTGGAACTCCTTTGAACTTCTTCTCCCATTGTCCCCTCCTTGCTAGTATAAATATGGTCGAGGCCCTTCACTTCATTGCATGTTGAATGTTGGGCTAGAGCTCTGTTCTTGTGGCTACACTTCATTTGTAGAAGAAACCAGTGGTCCATCGTCATCTTCTATTGATACAGACCAAACTTGTGACAACAGAACTAGTCCCTACATATTTGTCAATATTCCTTTACCTGAATCTTCAACTTTGTAAAGTCCTTCCAGATGACTGAAAATTGAATTGAATAGATTATGGGCTTTGTGCAAATGTGTTTTGTTTACTTTGGTCCTGAAGGGGAGGTGACATTTGTAAGGAGCTTCTGTTTCCTTCTAAAAGATCAAATGAATGAGGTGGCTTTAATCATACCTGTCTACTGCTCTAATAAACCTGTTTTGATTAGCACACAATTAGCTTTTGCTCTTGGCATGAGATCGTAAGTCTGGCCACTCCTGCTCTAAAGCTCAGGAGTGTGATTGATGTATGGGTTTTATTGATACACTGTAAAAAGTGTTGCTTTAAAGTGATTGTCTGGAGTTTGTCAGAAAAAAGACAGAGAGATATATGATTTAATAAAAACGACCCAAGCTCCCTCCCCTTCCTTTCTGATTGGTCTACGCCTACATTTCCGTAACAATCAATCAAACATTTAAATGTTAATCGGAGAACACGTTATACTTATACATTATAAATGAGGAAGATGACAAAGTCTTGGATCGTGTCTTTAATTCAGACAGAAGACATGTTTTATTGTCGTGGGTAGAGACAGCAAGAACACGAACAAAGATTTTACAAATTGCAAGTGATAATATACAGCGGAGGAATGAACACCGTCCAATCAGCTTTTGCCGTGATGCCATGTAGCTTGGTCTTCAGAAATCAAAATATGCTGTGGAAAAGTACTGGCTTGTGAATTTTGTTAGAATGATGAGTTTGAACTTTAACCACAGTTGCTTCAAAGGGTCATGAAATCTCTAAATTAATACACATGCACGGAGATTTCCGAATTATTTGTTAACGTTTTCATGACAAAAAAAAAAAATTTGATGCACAAAAAAAGTGGTAAACCCGGAAGTAGCTATTAACATTCATTGAACATTTTAGAACACATCTGTAGAGGATCTGATTATGGATATAGGTTCAGTATATAAATGATTATGGATATAGGTTCAGTATATAAATGATTATGGATAATCAGAAGTCATTGATTTGATGTCAATGGGTAACTCAGCGCTGATGTTCAGAATTCTTTGTTCAGTTTTCATGTAGTTTCAGAGCCTAATGGAGGCTCTGTGAAAACAAACCACTGAGCGTGCACGCAGCTACGAGCATAAGAACCAATGATTGACAGCCCTTGGCGTTACGTGATTGGTTAAACTGGAAGGCATAGTGGATTTTGAGCGATTGACCAGATGCATTACCATCATACAGTCACGTGATTGTGCATGAGCTTACGGCGGAAGTAGTAGAAACTAGCATTGCGGCGAGAGCATAACGGACTACAACTCTTAAAAACATGACTCCTCTCCTAAAAGGAGAAGTGGCCTCTTCAAGCACATGTTCGATTATGTTATCGGTGAAAGTAGGACATCTTGTCAGGGCTCACAAAGAGCGGTATTTGGAGAAGTTAAGGACGATCATGTATAGATGTGAAAGAGCAGACTTTTTACTACATTGTCCTCCATTAGAGAAGGTGATCGGCCGCAGCCTTCCATCGCTGCAGGACCTGTACGTCGCCCGAGCTCGAGGCCGGGCTGGTTGTATCACAGCCGACCCCTCTCACCCTGCACATGGACTATTCCAACCACTCCCCTCAGGCAGGAGGCTGCGGTCCATCAGGACTAGAACCTCCCGCCACAAGAACAGTTTCTTCCCCTCTGCTGTTGGACTCTTGAACACTTGAAAACTTGTTAACCTGCCTGCCCTGTAGAAGTCCCCTACTGCTCTTTATAAAGTCACTTTACTGCCCTTTATAAAGTCACTTTACTGCCCATCATTTGCCTCACTGTACTGCTGTCACCTTACATTGTGTGCACCATGTGCACTGTATATTGTATATGGTAATTGTAACTCTATTTTAATTTTAATTTTAAATGCATTCCTTGGAAGTGTTTTTTATTCTTTTTTATTTTATTTTATTCGCTCTCTCTGACTGTTGCACCGAGCCAAAGCAATTTCCAAGTCTGTGACCTCCTGTTACTTACGTGGCAATAAAAATGATTCTGATTCTGATTCTGATTAACCTCCTGAGACCCTGCGACCTCATACGAGGACATTACATTTTTGCCTCTTGGCACAATGATACTCAATTTTTTACATCCTTGACCTGATGGCCACATTTAGGGACACTGCCCGCGCCATCTTGTGGTGATATGATAGAATTACACTTAAGGCAGTAGGAAAAAAATGGTGGGAATATCAGCAAAAGACAGTTCACCGAAGAAAAATGCCCCAGGTAAATTTTCTATCAACATTTTATGAATGAAATCAATTTATTTATGCACAATAATGTCTCTAGCTTCATATGGAGTTTGAAATTTGACAAATGTTGATTGTAGTAGCAGGCTAGGATGTCAGTAAAAGTGAAGCAATCGTTTGAGGACGCTAGGACTATGTACCGCTATCTGTTTAGCTAACCGTGTGGAAGATTTAGATGAAGTTACAGTTGTAAATAGTTATTTTGAATCACACATTTGCTTAGTTATGTGGTTTACAGTTGTAAATAGTATATTTAAGTACTAAGTGGTATATGCTAAGTATTGTTTAGTGTTGCTAAATGCTTAATCATAAACAATATAGCTAGGCTATAGCTAACACATGAAAGCCAAGCTATGATGTGTCACTGATATACTGTAGATTTTGATGTTGGTTTTTAACATTATCATTACAGGCACACTTTCATTGTCAAGAGCAGAACAATTGCTGTTGGCAATTGCAGACAACTCTGAGATAGAGGACTTCTCAGATGGGGATGATTGTATCATCATCTCATACCTGTCAGTCAGCTTCTGGTGTTTCCCGCGGGGAGAGGCGGTGAGCTGAGGTGGCCATACTCATTGCCCCCCATCTCAGCCGCCACGTGTTGGAGTTCTCCCCGGTGAATTAGAGGGTCGCGTCCCTCCGCCTCCGGGTGGGGGACAAGTCTCTCACTGTTGTGACGGCCTACGGGCCTAACGGCAGTGCAGAGTACCCGGCCTTCTTGGAGTCCTTGGGAGGGGTACTGGACAGTGCACCGCCCGGGGACTCCGTTATTCTCCTGGGGGACTTCAACGCCCATGTGGGAAATGCCAGTGACACTTGGAGAGGGGTGATCGGGAAGAACGGCCCCCCTGATCTGAACCCAAGCGGAGTTCAGTTGTTGGACTTCTGTGCCAGTCACGGCCTGTCCATCACGAACACCATGTTCGAGCACAAGGGTGTCCACCAGTGCACGTGGCACCAGGACACCCTAGGCCGGAGGTCGATGATCGACTTTGTTGTCGTATCATCTGACCTTCGACCGCGTGTCTCGGACACTCGGGTGAAGAGAGGGGCGGAGCTGTCAACCGATCATCACCTGGTCGTGAGTTGGATCCGCTGGCAGGGGAGGAAGCCGGTCAGACCTGGCAGGCCCAAGCGTGTAGTGAGGGTTTGCTGGGAACGTCTCGCTGAGCCCCCTGTCAGACGGACTTTCAACTCACACCTCCGGGAGAGCTTCTCCCAGGACCCAGAGGAGGGGGACATTGAGTCCGAGTGGACCATGTTCTCTTTCTCTATCGCCAATAAGGCGGATCGTAGCTGTGGTCGCAAGGTCTCTGGTGCTGGTCCCGGCGGCAATCCCCGAACCCGGTGGTGGACACCGGCAGTAAGGGATGCCGTCAGGCTGAAGGAGTCCTATCGAGCAATGCTGGCTCGTGGGACTCCTGAGGCAACTGTCCAGTACCGGCAGGCCAAGCGTGCCGCGGCCCGGGCTGTTGCAGAGGCAAAAACCCGGGACTGGGAGGAGTTCGGAGAGTCCATGGAGCATGACTATCGGTCGGCCTCAAAAAGGTTCTGGCAAACCCTCCGGCGCCTCAGGAGGGGGAAGCAGTTCTTTGCCAACACCGTGTATGGTGCGGGTGGAGAGCTGCTGACCTCGACAGGGGATATCGTAACCCTAACCCTAACCCGGAGATTGTAGCCTTGAAAAACCCCATGCGTTGCAGAGCACAAGACTGCATTGGAAAATCCTGTGTCCGATGCATGACATGCAATGTGTACCTGTGCTTTGCAGCATTTCACACTTGCCAGTTTGAAAAAAGCCCTGGTTCAAAAGCTGTTCAGCAGAATTTTACTGTTTTAGGACTGTTAATAATATTTGCCATTATTTGTTCTAGTATTGTACTTATCAATTCAATTCAGCCATATTGAAGGCTTGAAATAGACAGTTTACACAGTATTTTGCAGTTTTATTTATGTATAGCCAATTTTTTGTCATGTGGATGAATGAAGAAAAAGGGAACCCAAATTGCAGGACTGAAAATCAAAGTAATTTAATAAAATAAATCCAAGGTAATGTAAAAACAGAACTGAAGACAGGACAAACGTGGTGGAGACAATGGACGGACCACAAGTGAGGAAGGGCACAGGGTATATATACACACAGGTGAATCACATTAGGGCGGGGCAACAATCAACAGGACAGGCAGGATTCAAACTCAAACTAGATAACATAATATATAGCAAAATAAAACCAGGTCAAAATGTCCACACCATGACATTTTTAGGCTTTGAAGATAGAGCTGTTTGGATATTATGTCTAACTTTGATGTTTACATTTTTCAAATAAACTGTTATATACTATTTTAGACCAATGGAGTCTATTTGTATTGTATAGTAAGGTCGACCCAAGTGCTGTACTCATGTGAGGACATTGATTTTTTAGAGAAGTAATAAATGGATCAAGCTCAAATTTTGAATTTCCACTAATTAGGACCTTCCGGCCTCAAAGAGCATACATTTTTTCTTTAGGTTATGAGAGACCCACTGTCCTCATACGAGGACATGTTTTTTCTCAAAAAGTACTTCCTGTACAAAATCACAGTTTAGGTGTTATACTTATTGGGTCCTACTTATCCTATATAGCAAAAAAAAATATAAAATGCACACCAGACAAATGCTCGGGTCTCAGGAGGAAAGGCACAAATCATACATACCATGACCAGTCCTTATGAAATAAAGATTTGTAATAACAAATGTTGGGATTTGACCCATGTTTTTAAACTGTTCTTGTCCACCACCCTTGAGTTGTGCCTTGTACAAATTATGCAATACAAATATATTGTAACGTGCCACAGCAGTGTTCCGTTTGTCAGGTTTATTGTTATGTTGACTGTTAAGTGTTGCACCATGACTGAGCTCACCATGTTAATTGATAGGGTCCTATGCAGTCTAATGTTAAAACTGCAATAAAACTGCCTTCTCGGGGTCTTGCGGTGTATGTGGCACGAGTTGAGCAAAGAAACTCTATCTCCCGTGACTTATTTGACTAAAACGTCACATTGGTGTCAGAAGTGGGATAATTCCCATAAAAAGTGAAGAAATGGAGAGGGAGATTGAAGAACTGGAACGCGCAGTACTGGAAAACTGCCGTCTTCTTGAGGAGGTTGAAGGAGCCAAGCCCAAGAGATTTCAGGAGAGACATGCTGCAGATGGGTACAGTACTGCAAGGCCACAGCGCCCTCTGGAGGCTGGTTGGACTCCTCCACACTACGCTTCAGAGGACCAGAGCACAGAGAGACCACAGCTTCCCCTGGAGGCTGGTAGGACTAGTCCACACCACACTTCAAGTAAACAGACCATAGTGAGGCCACGACGCCCCCTGGAGGCTGTCAGGAAAGATATAAGCTCTCAAACAGGCAACATAGAGCAGAATGTCCAAGTGAATGACATACTAGGGGGGGGCTCAGCACATACTCAGAGGCAAACTGTGATAACACATGCCCCAAGACAGATGATTACACCAAAGACCCCTGCTAAACTACCCAAGTACAGTGGAACCACACCAGTAGAGCCCTTCCTTGCCCAAGTTAGACTAGCATCATGGCATAGTGGCTGGAGCGACGATGAAACTGCCACCCACCTTGCCTCGGCATTAGAAGGTGTCGCCCTTCAAATTCTCCTTGACTTGTCCCTAGAGGATCAGCAAGATTTACGGGCCCTGATGATCGGTCTCGAACGGCGCTTTGGAAAGCGCCTGCATGCGGAAGAGAGCAGGGAGCAGCTGAGTGGCCTATATCGGAAGGAAGGGGAAAACTTGGGTACCTTCGCGGCCAATATACAATTCCATACCCAGCGTGGTTACCCACAGTTTCCAATTGCTGCACGTGACGAACTCGCACTTCATGCATTTCTCCAAGGTCTTACCCCAGAAAGGCTACGTCAATATGTGCGTCTTGCTCGCCCTCGCTGCCTGAATGAAGCTCTCCAGGAAGCTGAACGGGCGGAGATAGTGCTCTCCACACGGCCAAACCTGGGAAGGGCCACAAATATGCTGCAGCGAGTTCGCCAAGTGGATTATGAAGAAGTCGGAGTTGAAGAAGTTTATCAGGTCCGTACTCCAGCCCCCAGGGGGCGCAGCAGAACTGCCACCGATCGCTGTTTTCGCTGTGATGAACCCGGACACTTAGCTCGAAACTGCCCTGCACCATCCCCAAAAGCTAGGGAGCCACAGCCAACGGGAAACGATCGGAGGGTGGAGTAGAGAGGAAGACCCCACCCCACTATCTCGCTCGTACAGCCAGAAGTACTCCCTGGTACAACAGGCCCACTTTCCACCTCCTGGTCACCAACACACATGCAGCTCACCACTGTCACAGGAGAGAGGGCAGGTATGCAAGGAAAAAAAAGTGTGCGGATTGAAGTTCAAGACCAAATGTTGGAACACGAATTCTGGTTAGCGCGAATACAGGACCCTTGTATCATTGGATTAGACTTGTTAGTTCACTGGGGTGCTGTTGTTGACCTTGTGAAGTCGACCCTCACTCTTGGGCCTCTCACAGTTGATCTCCAGCCTGAAAAGCGGACAAGAAAGAGGCAGAGAACCCGGAAAGTCAGTCCAAGGGGGGTGGTTCCAGCGGTGGCGGTCCAGATCCAGGCGGTCCCAGCGGCGGCGGTCCAGGTGGTCCCAGCGGCGACGGTCCAGGCGATCCCAGTGGCGGCGGTCCAGGTGGTCCCAGCGGCGGCCGTCCAGGCGGTTCCAGAAGCGGCTGTCCAGGCGGTCCCAGCGGGGGCGGTCCAGGCGGTCCCAGCAGCGGCAGTCCAGGTGGTCCAGGCAGTTGAGGTCCAGGCGGTCCCAGCGGCGGCGGTCCAGGTGGTCCCAGCGGTGACGGTCCAGGCGGTCCCAGAAGCGGCGGTCCAGGCGGTCCCAGCGGCGGCGGTCCGGGTGGTCCAGGCGGTCGAGGTCCAGGCAGTCGAGGCCCAGGCGGTCCTAGCGGCGGCAGTCCAGGCGGTCCCAGTGGCGACGGTCCAGGCGGTTCCAGAAGCGGCGGTCCAGGCGGTCCCAGCAGCGGCAGTCCAGGTGGCCCAGGCAGTCGAGGTCCAGGCGGTCCCAGCAGCAGCGGTCCAGGCGGTCCCAGCGGCGGCAGTCCAGGTGGCCCAGGCAGTCGAGGTCCAGGCGGTCCCAGCAGCAGCGGTCCAGGCGGTCCCAGCGGCGGCGGTCCAGGTGGTCCCAGCGGTGACGGTCCAGGCAGTCCAGGTCCAGGCGGTCCCAGCAGCGGTGGTCGAGGTCCAGGCGGTCGATGTCCAGGCAGTCCCAGAACCGGCGGTCCCAGCGGCGGTGGTCCCAGATGTGGCGGTCCCAGCAGTGGCGGTTCCAGCGGTGGTCCCAGCAGCGGTCCAGGCGGCAGATCACCGCTCCCCAACACCGGCTGGCGCTTGCACAGCCAGTCCCCGTGCCATACCACCCCCATCCACGGAGACTGTGAATGCTGTCAAAGAGCTGTGGCAGCGCAGTAGTGAGGGCCTAGATCAGTGTCAAAAAGAGCAGTTGAGACATCTCTTGGACAGGTATGTGGACATCTTTGCCGCTCGAGATGAGGACTGTACACAAACTCGGCTTGTCCAGCACTCTATTGACACTGGTTCGGCCCCCCCAATACGCCTTAGGCCCCATCGGCTCGCCCTTTCAAAGAGACAGTTAGCAGAGGACATGATCCACAAAATGCTTGCGGCTGGAATAATAGAACCATCCAGTAGTCCTTGGGCAGCTCCAGTAGTTATTGTGCGCAAGAGATTGGGTGGGTGGCGGTTCTGTGTGGATTACCGCCGTCTCAACGCGGTCACAAAGTCCGCATCGACGATGCTCTGGATTACATTAGTGGATCAAGTTGGTTCAGCTCCCTCGACATGCGAAGTGGATATTGGCAGGTGGAGCTCAGCCCCCAGGCCAGGGCAAAGACTGCATTCACATTCGGGCAAGGACTCTGGCAGTTTCGTGTAATGCCATTTGGCCTGTGCAATGCGCCGGCCACGTTCGAGCGTCTCATGGAGCGGGTGCTCGCCGACATTCCTCGCAGCCATTGTGTGGTGTACCTGGATGACCTGCTGGTCCATGCGAGTGATTTCAGCAAAGCTTTGGGCCACCTGAGCGGCGTCTCCAGTGCTACAGTAGGTCCCATTTCGTTTTGTCGCCTTTCACGCGTGAATAGCACGAGGCTCACGCGCGAATCACGTGTCTTTTCTTTTTTTCCCCCCCAGTGACGCTGCAATGACCAAAACAACCACCAGGTGGCACTTGTGAGCAGGGTTACATTGGCGTCTCATCGCTCTTTCTTCTCTCTTCACCGGACAACTATCTGTGGCTTTAAGCCTAGCGTACTGTACATCGGACTGGCAACTGATTATATCCGTCGCCTATGAGTTTCTGCCCCGCGCACATCGACAATCTGGTTAAAACGGGCAACTCCTTGTAGCAGGCCAGTCTCTGGAATAACCCGCAGACATTAAAACTACTGCATATAACGTAAACTTTTGCATCACGTTGGTAATCTTTCCAAAAAGAGAGAATATCGTTATGGAAAGAGAAACTATTGGTAATATAACACTGAACGTTATCTGACTCAAACAGCTCCGCTGGTGTCTCCTCTTCTCTGGCATCTCTAACATTTATAATAAATACATAAATATAACAATCATAATGAAGATGCTTTCAAATAATTTAGCAAGCTGTAATTCATTTATTTTAACTCCACACGGCTCCTCCCCTGCCAAACTTCTCTCGCTGCTCTCTCCTCCGCAAACCACTAAATGAGGAAAAGGGAATATTCACTCAATCTATTTTGAATGTTATACATACAATATTAATATAGTCTAAGCACGTGTAACACCTGTAGCCCGTGTATTTACCACAGACTGTAAGTATTAAAGTAATGAGGCCCCTACTTTAGGCCTCTGCTGTGAGGCCCACACCGTCATCAGTCTCGGTGCCTCTGTTTAGATCACACGTCTGTCCTCGGGCTGGAGTGTTCTGAGGCTTTAAGGAAGGAGCGATCCTGTTTGTCAGCATGATTTTTTTGTTTAACACTAGAACGCCCAGCCAAATTTGGGGCTAGTTTAAGAGAAGAGGAGCTAACCCGCTACTTGGGTTGCTAACATTTGCATGTCAAATGAGGTGATGACCGAAACAACAGGGGGCTAGGGTGGGCTTTGTTTATTCGTCTGGGGGAGGAACGGCTGCATAATCCAATAAGCTGCATGATCATATCACACAGCGCGAAGCTCGTTCCCCGAGAACAACAGCTATTCCTCCTCTTAAAGAGCGACTAAACGCCAAATTAACTTTTTTCAACTCATAAACTCCATAAATATGTTTATTGTAGTGCTCTCTACATATCCTGGTCATTTTTTTGACATTTTAGTTCAAATTAGATAAAATATCACTTTTGAGCCAAAAAACGTCTGTGTGGCACCCTCTCAACCTTTTTGGTGGTACTACATTTTAATTTGGTCCTGGCCTCTCCATTGACTCTGAAGTTCTCTATGACATCAGTTGTTTTGTGTGACGTCCGTCTGTCAGAGCCAGTGATGTGAACCCATTCAACTCTCACACATGCCCCAGCTGCAGTTTGGAGTATTCTGGCGCCATCTAGTGGATTAAAATTAAATTACATGAGTCATTCCGAGATTATTGAGTGTGATTAGGTTCAGGTGTGTAGCTTTACAATTATCTAAGTGTGTAAATAAGGGTGGAATGAGACTTTCTGGTGTGTAAACTATTGCTTTAAGCAGCAATGACAACTGTCTGTTTTTTTTGTGTGACAAGTGAGCTGTCAATCACAGCCCAGACCACGCCCAACTCTAAGCCCCCCTTCTTGTCCCTTGGTCCTCCAGGCAACACCCTTTTAAGAGAACATTTTCAAATCTTCATGTGGGCGGAGTAAGGCTGGGCACAGGTGTTTAGTCGCTCTTTAAGGACTGACAATGCTCTCAAAACATTCACAACAGAGTATCCTTTTTCATTTTATTTTTAAGAAAGTTCAGCGTGAACTTCTTGAGGTGGCCCGTAGGTCCCAGAGGAGGAGAGCGCAGTCAGGCCAGGCTCGCCTCGCACATCTTAAAGCTGCTTTCCTTTTCTCCATAGCATGTCTGTAACAAAAGTTCTCATAATCTGAAGTCAGCATATTTACATGGTTTTATGAAACAGAATTCTGAGAAAAACAGGTTTAAAGATCGACATTCTAAACATAATCATCACAGTCACATAAAAAATTTTTTTGAATTACTCTGTTATGGCACACTTTTTTTAGTCACTAAGGCAAGGCAAGGCAAGTTTATTTATATAGCACAATTCATACACAAGGCAATTCAAAGTGCTGAACAAAACAAGAAAGCATTAAAATCATAAATTATCACAGAACATTAAAAAGAAAGATAAAAATATAAATCCCTCAGTTGTATGCACAGTTAAACAGAACTGTCTTTAACCTGGTTTTAAACATTGTCAGAGAGGAGGCCTGTCTCACATCTTCAGGAAGATTGTTCCAGATTTTAGCAGCATGAATCTGAAAAGCAGCCTCCCCATGTTTAGTTCTGACTCTGGGCACTAACAGGAGTCCAGTCCCTGTGCTCCTCAGAGTCCGGGCTGGTTCATATGGGACTAACATGTCACTAATATATTTTGGTGCGAGGCTATGGAGAGACTTGTACACAAGCAGAGCTGTTTTAAAGTCTATTCTCTGAGCCACAGGAAGCCAGTGCAGAGACCTGAGGACTGGACTAATGTGGTCGTACTTCCTGGTTCTAGTCAGGACTCGAGCTGCTGCGTTTTGAATGTACTGCAGCTGTTTTACAGCCTGTTTGGACAGACCTGTGAGCAGGCCATTGCAGTAGTCTAACCTACTGGAGACAAATGCATGGATAAGAATCTCCAGGTCTGCTTTAGACACTATGTTTTTGATCCTGGCAATGTTTTTTAGATGGTAAAAAGCTGCTGATGTTACTGATTTGATGTGGCTATTAAAATTTAAGTCTGAGTCCAGTACTACCCCTAGATTTCTGACCTTGTTTGAAGGTTTTAGGGAGAGAGACTGTAGGTGACAGATGACGCTCTCTCTTTGTTTCTGGGGACCAAAGACAATCATTTCAGTTTTGTCTGCGTTTAGCTGAAGGAAGTTGTTTTGCATCCACTCACTGATCTGTTGGATACAGTGAAGGAGTGAGTCCACTGGTCCATGTTCTCCTGCAGTCAGTGAGACATAGATCTGAGTGTCGTCTGCATAGTTATGATAGGAAATTTTGTTTCTGCGTATTAACTGACCTAACGGCAGCATGTAGAGATTGAACAGAAGAGGTCCCAGGATCGACCCCTGTGGGACTCCACAGGTCAGGGCCATATGATCTGAGACACAGTTTCCAATCTCCACAAAGTACTTCCTGTCTTCAAGGTAAGACCTAAACCAACTTAGGGCGGTGCCAGTGACGCCAACCCAGTCCTCTAGTCTCTGTAAGAGGATCTCATGGTCGACGGTGTCAAAGGCAGCACTTAGATCTAACAAGATTAAGATTGAGACTTTGCCTGCGTCAGTGTTCAGCCGGATATCGTTTGTAACCTTAACGAGAGCAGTCTCAGTGCTGTGGTGGGGTCTAAAGCCGGACTGAAACATATCAAATGAGTTGTTGATTATAAGAAATCTAGTAAGCTGTAGGTAGACAACTTTCTCAAGGACTTTCCCCATAAATGGCAGATTTGAGATGGGACGATAGTTGTTAAGTACCGTAGCATCGAGACTGCTCTTTTTTAGCAGGGGCCTGATGACTGCAGTTTTCAGGGCCTTTGGGAATATTCCAGAATGAAGGGACATGTTTACTATCTGTGTGAGTGAAGGTAACAGACTGCTCAGAACAGACTTCAGAAATCTAGTGGGTAGTACATCCAAGCTGCATGTGGAGGAGCTCAAACTGGAGATTATCTCTTGGACAGTTTTATCATTTACAGGTGCAAAGTGAGTTAGCTCAGAGAGCCTTTCTGGCTGTTGGATGGTTATCTGTGGATTGGAGACAATGGCGTTTTTGATGCCTTGAACCTTGTCATTGAAAGAATTAGCAAACTCATTGCATTTACGTTTGGAAGTTAGCTCTAATGGCATTTGAACAGGGGGGTTTGTTAATCTATTAACTGTTGAGAACAGAACACGCAGATTGTTGCTGCAGCCTTCAATCATTTCAGAAAAATACCTTTCTCTCGTACTACGTAGCACCCGGTTAAACTCGCACAACTTATCTTTGAAGATCTCGTAATCAACCTGGAGGTTGGACTTGCGCCACTTCCGCTCGGCCCTCCGGCACTTTCTCTTTTGTGCCCTGACCGAGTCTGCTTTAGCCCACGGCGCCTTCTGCTTATTTTTCACTATTTTAACCTTCACAGGGGCAACGGTATCCAGAACATTCAAATCACTAGAGGTGACAGAGTTAAACAGTTCATCTACAGTAGAATACGATGCATTCTCAAAGTTTATCATTTCCATAAATAGTTCACTCGTATTTTCATTTATGCGCCTTCTTCGAACAGTTGCAGAGTCCACTGGTGGTTTGTTAGTGAAACACATGTCAAAAAAAACACAGAAATGATCCGAAAGAGCAACATCGACCACGTTTACATTTGAAATAATCACCCCCTTTGTAACTAACAGATCTAGAGTGTGCCCTCTGCTGTGGGTGGGGCCACTTACGTGCTGAGTGAGATCAAAGGATTCAAGTACAGAACTCAGCTCATTTGCATTTCTGTCATCAACATTATCCACATGAAAATTAAAATCACCTGTAATAACCAAACTATCAAAATCTGTGCATACAACTGAAAGCAACTCGGTAAAATTATCAATAAAACTGTGACATGACTGTGGTGGCTTGTATAGGACAACGAAGAGTATTGGAGGAGATTGTTTTTGTTGTATTTTAAAAGACACATATTCAAATGACGAAAACTTCCCAAGAGACATTTTATGGGAGACAAAGTGGTCTCTAAAAATGGCAGCTAAGCCTCCTCCTTTTTTGTTTTCCCGTATTTCAGATTCAAACTTGAAATTTGGTGGTGATGCTTCTATTAAAACTGCATTTTCTGAATTTTGGTCAAGCCAAGTTTCAGCCATGAACATAAGATCAAGATTATGAGAACAAATAAAATTATTGATTAAAAAAGACTTGTTACAAAGAGATCTGACATTAAGCGTAGCAAGTTTCAAAGTTTCAGTATCAGCGGTTGCGGTCGGCTGATTCTTATACGGAACAAGAATTAGATTTTCCAGATTAGACTGATTAACTCCAGATGTTTTTCTGTAATGTATTCTTTGTGTTATCACTAAGGGAATGGCACAGGTGGCTTCATGACAGGGCCCCAGCCGGGTCTCTCCTCTAACTAGACTGCCAGTGGCTGCGAAGCAGAGACCCTGTGCATCCTAGTGTTTAGAGAAAAGAGGGGGAGGGGAAGGCAGGGGAGGAGGATGGAGAGGTGGGTGGCTTTTGGGTGTTGAACGAGGGGGGCAGGGAGGTGGAGGGGTTTTAGGTGATGGGTTAGGGCCGGGGTGGGCTGAGGCAGAGGTTTTGGGTGTTGAACGAGGGGGAAGTGGGGGTGGAATGGTCATGAGGTTAGGGGAGGGACTGGCTGAGGTGGTTTTTGTAGGTGAATTGGAAACCCTAGGTGGATTTGGAGGTACATATGGGGAGTGGTTTAGCATGTTGGACAGGACTCTAGATCGAGCTAATATGGGTGTGAGAGGAATAGTCTTCATCGCCGATTTTATTAGCCCTGCAGAGTGTTCAGGTAGGTCTAACAGTGAAGGCGGGGATGAAAAACAAAGGGAGGTGTCCCCATTCTCTCTTGATGGAGTGGACGTGGCAGGGGGGACCCAAGACAGGTCCATGGGAGGTGGCGAGGGAGTCTTTGATGGAGGGGCAGGTGGTTGAGGAAACCCCAGCACAGGCCTGTCTGCTGTAGGCTGGGGTGAGGATGGGGGCTTCAGAGGCGCTGTAGATGAAGAAGGCGTGGCTGCTTTGGAGCAGGCTGGGGATGAGGATGTTGGTGGTGGTGGTCGTGCTGCTGGTGCTGCTACTGGTGATGATGCAGCTGCTGCTGGTGATGATGCAGCTGCTGCTGGTGATGATGCAGCTGCTGCTGGTGATGATGCAGCTGCTGCTGGTGATGATGCAGCTGCTTCTGATGACAGTGGAGGTGTTGAGATCCTTCGAGGTGGTGGTGGTGTTGAGATCCTTTGAGGCGGTGATGGTGTTGAGATCCTTCGAGGTGGTGGTGGTGTTGAGATCCTTCGAGGTGGTGGTGGTGTTGAGATCCTTCGAGGTGGTGGAGGTGCAGAGACTTTTGGAGTTGGCTTCCTCCCTTTCGATGGCTGCACGCGCTGCGCAGGCTGAGGTCTCAGGGCAAAAGAAAGGTTATCCATCAACACTTTTACTCCGTAAGTGTTCAGATGTGGCCCTTTCCCTTCAAAAAGCTCATGCCTATTCCAGAACAGATTAAAATTCTCAATGAAGGCAAGTCCTCTGCGTGAACATTCGTTGAGTAGGAAAGTATTTAGCTGATACAGACGACTGAATTTCATTTGCTTCCCGTCCACATTTGGTAGTGGGCCACTGATAACGATTTTTGTGTCCATTTTAGCAAGGTCGTCCAATAAGAGAGAGTAATCCCGTTTCAACTTTTCACTTGTGTTGTCATAGACGTCTACTGCCCCCACGTGGATCAACAATCTTTTTACCCCGCCGGTCTCAGACAGAAGCCTCGGAGCCAACCGCCTTATCTCATCCACTTTAGCAGAGTGTACTGAGTGAACCTTGAGATTACGCATATTTACATTTCTTATCGCCGAATCCCCGATAAAGAGCGACTCAGCTGCATTTGACCTTGACTGAGACTGAGACTGGGACTGAGAGGCTACTGCTGATTCATCTTCCAAAAGTGGTGAAAAGCGGTTTCTTGTAATTAAAGATTTTTGCTGTGGCATTATGACACTCTTGTTATCATTAGCTTTGCCTTGTTTGGGCTTGGCACCATATGTGTTCCAACAATTGTCTCTGTTGATTTTGGGAAATGAAATAGCGTCATCATAACTTACGTTCTGTCCATTTGGTCCATTTCCTTTCACTGGTATTGTTGTGTTCAGCCCCAATTCTGATTCAAGCACAAACATTCGGTCTTGAAGAAGTTTTAGCTCCTGTTTGAGTGAAAAACAGCCGTCGCAAAGTTTTGTTCTATTTTCCCGTCCTCCCGACATGCTGTAAGTTAGGTAAATTCCACCAGTCTTGTGTTGAAGTTTGTAAAAAGGAGTAATCCGTGTTTTGTGGAATAAAAATGTAAGCAAAAATGATTAAAGGAGATAAAAAAGCAGCAAGCGAGGAGCAGCAAGAGAATGCGACTGCTCTGTCCAGAGCAGGAAGTACAGAGCAGGAAGTACACACTATGTTGTAGAAGATTAAAAAGATGTTACTTTGGCACCAATTAAACACACAACACTCATGAATTAGTCGAAAATCAAGAATGTATTGATTCTTTCAATATTCAATGGATTGAATTTTGACCTCCTCTTCTTTTTCTTTCTCTTTATAATTTACTGAAAATTAGATATGTATTAGACATTGCCAGTATTATTCTTTCAAATCACGCAGTCTAAATATCCACAACCACCAAGCATTTTTAATGCAAGGAGAAACTTAGGTAACTTTAAACACAAATAAAACAAATGGACCTGTCCGACTCGAGTGTCTATGCTTCGTGTGTCTCTGGTTCTGTCCAAGTGTCTATGATCCGCGTGTCTCGCGTGTCTCCGCCTGTCTGGGTTCTGTCTGCGTATATGTAAATGTAAATGTAAATGTCTGTCTGTGGTTCTGTTCGGGTGTCTATGGTCCTGTCTGTGGTTCTGTTCGCGTGTCTATGGTCCGCGCTCGGAGCCCAGACTGCAATGCGTTCACTGAGCTGTCAGAGCGGGGGTCACAGCAGCTGCTCCCGGGGCCAGAGCGGAGGATGTAACGTAACGTTCGGTTTATCAAAACATATCACAATATTTAACGTATAACACTAGGGAATTTCACCTAGATTTTTTCAGACATTAAAGACAAGATGTTATATAATAATTCTTTAATGAAAAAACAATTTTGCCAAAAAAATGACAATCGACCTATTTTTACTGTTTACTCGGAACGTGCCAGCGTGACATCCGACGGGTTTTCCCAGATCGCATCACATATATACGTTAATGCAATTTAATTATAAAGATTAACATTAGTACAAAATATGTATATGTTGTCTGTTATGCTCTTACTTTGAAAAAGCATTCAATAGCAACACATATACATTCACATGCACGGCTTGAACACACAGCCAATTTTACACATTTCCTTTTGACAAGGAAAGAAGATAACAATCTGATAACGTTACGTAATTGCACACAAGCAACCAAAAGATGTGCAACCAAAATTGCCTCAGACAAGAATCGAACCTGGGTTCTCTAGGTCACAGTCTTCAATGTTAACCATTCGGCCAACATAGCATCTCTGGGCTAGACAGGTTTGCACGCAGTATCATACCTGAGCGTCTAAGTCGCTAGCAGAGCTAAAGCGGACTTAACCTGCCACCTTGTGGCGATAAGATGTAATATTTTTCACGCAACTGCGTGATTCCCGAAAAGCGTGAGTGAAGACGACAAAACGAAATGGGACCTACTGTATTCGTCACGCTGGTCTGCGGCTGAACCCTGCCAAGTGCCACCTTCTGCAGAGAGAGACTACTTTCCTGGGTCATGTGGTCAGTGCTGAAGGAGTAGCGACTAACCCAGAGAAAGTAGCGGCTGTCCAGGATTGGCAGATCCCGGTTAACGTACGTGACCTCCGCAGTTTCTTGGGACTGGCGTCCTACTATCGCCACTTTGTCAGGAACTTTGCCTCTGTCGCAGGGCCCCTACACCGCCTGACGGACAAAGGAAAGCCTTTCGTTTGGACTAACAGCTGTGACACTGCTTTCAACCAGCTAAAAGCAGCCCTCACAGCCGCGTCCATCACGTAGATCTTCCCTATGTGATGGACACAGACGCTAGTGGCACCGGAATTGGGGCTGTCCTTTCACAGCAGGGAGGTGAAGGAGAGCGAGTAGTGGGGTACTACAGTCGCGCTCTCAGTCGTGAGGAGAGGAACTACTGTGTCACACGCCGAGAGCTGTTGGCCGTAGTGATGGCAGTACACCATTTTCGCCCCTATTTGCACGGCAACAAGTTCCTCCTGCGCACAGATCATGCCTCACTGACCTGGCTTTTAAGTTTCAAGCAGCCAGAGGGACAAGTAGCTCGTTGGCTGGAAGTTCTCCAAACTTACGATTTTGACATTCAACATCACCCTGGACAACAACACAATAATGCGGATGCCCTGTCACGACGCCCGTGTGTTATAGCAGAGTGTCGTTACTGCGAGCGCCAGGAAGAGCGGGATCGGGACAAGCCTAGGGTTTCCACTGCCACAATTAACCCCCCTGATGACCTGTCTTCAGAACAGCTGCAGCAACAGCAAGAGTCCGATACCACCTTGGCCCTGATCAGGAAGTGGCTGGAACTGCCCAGACGTCCTGAATGGCCGGCAGTCTCCCCCCATGGCACTGATATTAAGGCCTATTACTCTCAGTGGGGAAACATTGAGCTTCGTAACGGCTTGCTGTTCCGGAGGTGGCGGGCTCCAGGGCAGGGCAAAGACATCTTACAGTTATTAGTGCCCCGTTCACTTCAACCTCAGGTCCTTCAGAGTGTGCACGGTTCAATCGGCTCAGGCCACTTTGGCATCTCCAAGACCCTCCATCGGCTTAGGGGACGTTTCTACTGGCCCGGCTGCCGACAGGACGTGGAAATACATGTGCATTGCTGTGATTTGTGCACTGCTCGGAAAGGTCCCACCCAGCGCTCACATGCCCCCCTTCAGCAATACCTGGTCGGGGCTCCAATGGAACGAGTAGGTGTGGATATTCTTGGGCCCTTTCCTGTGACCGATACTGGAAACCGCTACGTCCTAGTAGCCATGGACTATTTTACGAAGTGGCCGGAAGCCTATGCTGTACCAGATCAAAGTGCCGCCACAACAGCTGGAAGACTGGTTGATGAAATGTTCACCCGTTTTGGAGTGCCCTCTGAGCTTCATAGTGACCAGGGGCGGAACTTTGAATCCCAGGTGTTCAGTGAAGTTTGCAGACTGCTCGGAATTAAGAAGACGCGGACAACTCCTCTCCACCCTCAAAGTGACGGTCTAGTGGAGAGGTTTAATCGGACTTTGGCTAACCAACTTGCTATCCTGGTCAGCAAGCACCAGCGTGACTGGGACCGTTATCTTCCCCTCGTCCTCTGGGCCTATCGAACTGCAGTCCAGGAGTCCAGTCAGTGCACCCCAGCTGCTCTCATGTTCGGTCGAGAGCTCCGCACACCCGTGGATCTGGTGTTCGGGAGCCCTCCGGAGCCAGAGATTGCAGGAGGGCACGAGATGGACTATTTCCAAAGACTCAGAGAGCACCTGCGGGTGGTGCATGACTATACTCGCCAAGTTCAAGCCAGTTCCGGGGTACGTCAGAAGAGGGCCTATGACAGTCACTGCCGCGGTCAGCCCTTCCAACCTGGGGACAAAGTGTGGGTTTATTGCCCCGATCAAAAGAAAGGTATCTCTCCTAAGCTGTGCAGTCATTGGAGGGGGCCAGCCGAAGTTGTGGCACGCCTGTCCGACGTGGTATACCGTGTACGCATGCCAAACAAGGGCCGTTTTGTGGTATTGCACAGAGACCGGCTAGCTCCGTACCGCCCCTATGCTCCTGAGACTGTTGGTGAAGTAGACGGATTACTTGTCCAAGCCCCCCAAGTTCATCTGTCTCCCAGACGCCCAATTCGCCAACGTCGTCAACCTGGTCACTTGAGAGACTATGTGTTATGTGATGGGGTTGTCCGGGACGACTAACCCGCTCTGGTGGGGGTTATGTAACGTGCCACAGCAGTGTTCCGTTTGTCAGGTTTATTGTTATGTTGACTGTTAAGTGTTGCACCATGACTGAGCTCACCATGTTAATTGATAGGGTCCTATGCAGTCTAATGTTAAAACTGCAATAAAACTGACTTCTCGGGGTCTTGCGGTGTATGTGGCACGAGTTGAGCAAAGAAACTCTATCTCCCGTGACTTATTTGACTAAAATGTCACAATATTTTGAAGAAAAAATGTAATATTGCAAGTTAAATTTGACACCTGAATGTTGATTATTTCAGACAGCTGCTATGTGATCACTGTGTAAACTCCATCGATATAAAATATGACAAGGTAGGGTGTAGACAATGTGTGTGGATATCTCAGATCCAGGACACCTTGTCATCTGCATCTTATACATTACATGCACCGTACACAAGCATACACGTGGAGCGACAAAAGTACAGCTATTCAATACGTTGGGAACAACAAGCAGTGATGAAACTAAGTTTGTTTTCTTTACTAAGTGTAAATAGAGTCCTGTATTCTTGGCCCCTCCCCCACATTGTGGCCTCCAGAGGGCGCCAGGGATTATACAGTCTATGGCCTTACCGCACACTTCGAGAGTCACTGGGTTCTTCCATATGGGCTGGACTAAAACTCTTTACTATTTCTATTTGTATTTACATGCCAGAGCCACGTGCACCTGTCGTTGCCATGGAGACGCAGAGTGTTTATATTCAAACGCTGCTCGCTCGACGCTCACTTCACTTGCTGTTGGACGCTGACACTTGTGCAGAACTCTCTTCATCTCATCTTTGTTTAAGGACCAAGCTGTGGTAAAACACTGTAGCACCAGGACACTGTCTAACACTGGTTTGTTGACACTTTTCAGCTTTGAAAAGCTCTGTGAACAAACACTGTTGGCTCTCATGGCTCTCCCCTTCCACGCCCCGGCCGACCTGCCCCTGCCGCCTGGAGGTAACACCACATCACTTACTGATCACTGAAATGATCATGAAATATGGGTAAAAGACGTGATATTCTCACTTTAGTCCATGTGTGGCTGCTTGGATGGACCACATGTCTGTGTCAGGAGCTAACGCTAGCTAGCATGTGGCAGGGCAACTATGAAAGTGTTTCTTTAAGACATAGACTTTTGGTCACATGTGTAAAAGCTGCTGAAAACAGACTGTTGATCAGAAAGTTGATCAGAAAGGCTGTAATTAAAACGTTATCTCAGCTTTATCATCAGTATTTGAGTTTTAACATCAAATGTATCCAGTGCTAAAGGTAGATGAGAGCAGCTGTTGTGCACATGTGACCGTGACCTGATCAGTGTTGGAGAAACAGCTCCAAAAGTCACTTGTTCATTTAGTTGTAACTCACTAATGTAACTGGTTACACACATGAACAGAGTAGTAGTTACAACCAAAACATTTCCAGTTACATTCATATCTTCATTAATTGAACCTTTCTCACTGCTACAAATAATTTGACTGAAAGTTCTTCATGCTGTAACAGTTAAATCCATTATTGAATACGTTGACAACTCATTTAGTTTGAAATGAATGGGTTTGTGAACCTTACACAGGGTGAAACATGAAGAGGTTTTCATAAGTCAAACAGTATTTTAGTCTTCATAACGGTGAATACTTGTGTGTTTGACTGTAACTTTGACAAAACAAAAACAGTGTGTGAGGAAGTTGTTCATGTTGTCATTATGTTCCAACAGCGTGGGACGCCCTGCAGGTGCTTCTTGCTGACGACCAGGAGGACGCAGGTGAGTCGCAGGTAAGGTGGGCTTATCACGTGTTGCGTCACGTCTATGGTTTGGACTTGGAGTCTGATGAAGTGGAATTTGACATCCACCACTGGGATCAAGCTCTCGTGCCAGAGGCCGGCATGGACGATGACGCGGACTGGGAGGACTGGGAGGACTGGGACGCCTCCCCCTTGGACGTTTTCTGGGATGAGAACAGTGACTGGGACGATGCACTTGTCCCAGACGATGAAGAGTACGACCAGGACACGAAGAGTGAGGAGGAAGACCAGGACACAGAGGGTGAAGAGGACAACCAGACTGTGCCGGAATGGTCCCCTTCGTCTCCCAGTCCAGACCTCGTGCCCTCCCGTCCCCCTGTGAGCTTCCAGGACTTTGTGCCCCTAACAAGGGCCAGGCGCCACAGGGACGAAGAGGAGGATGAAGAGGACAACCAGACTGTGCCGGAATGGTCCACTTCGTCTCCCAGTCCAGACCTCGTGCCCTCCCGTCGCCCTGTGAGCTTCCAGGACTTTGAGCCCCTAACAAGGGCCAGGCGCCACAGGGACGAAGAGGAAGAGGAGGAGCCCATCTCCAAGAGGCCACGCTTTTCCTACGACGAGGACATCTTTGAGGAGCCCACCCTCTCCGACTCTGCTGGGACGTTGGAAGGCTTCACCCGATACTTCCTCCAGCCCCACCTGCCCCAAGACTCCGACTCAGAGCAGGACTGAAGATCAACCTGAGCCTGAGACTGAGCACCTGGAGGAGAGAAGGCAGCACTTATTTCTACAGCACTTTAGACAGCCAGAGGAGGTCACAAAGTGCTTCACATGGGCCGCACACTCCACCTTCAGCAGCGCCCAATTTCACCTCTGGACATTTATTTATTGATTCATTGATTTATTGATTGTGCAAAGTGTTGACACTTTGACTTTAAACACAAAAAGTAGTTTCTTTGTGGGACAAGGGTTTCCAACCTGTTGAGAGATAGTGTTAGATGTTTCCATATAAAACATAAACCATTCTCCATGTATTACAAAACATGATGTCACTGAGTAACTTCTCTGAAGAAAGACTTTGGAGCAGCATTTGTAGATTCCCTGAGCCCTTTCACAGGCCACTATGAAAGAGCTGGAGAGCCACTGGTAGCTCCTGTGCTGTAGGTTGAAGACCCTTGTTCTAGTATTAGTAGTAGTTTGTTTCAAGAAAGGAGAAGGCAAAGAAAACGATGTAGGACTTCCATAAAGATGACATTTGTTCACAGCAGAAACACATTGAGCATGAGCAGTAAGTAAATAGATGAAGCTGATGTGAGCAGAGATCTTCAGCCTCACTCTGTCCTCCATCGTACTCCTTGCTTTCTCCTCTGGGGAGTTGCCCGATAACCAGCCCTTAAACTTTATACATATAAAGTTTGTTGATTTCTTTATTTATGGTTGTTGGTGCAATACCCACTCCTTTGCTGTGTTTTTTTATTAAAGGAAAGGAATAGTATGTAGGAAGGTAACAAACACAGATCAACTTTGACAGAACTAAAACTAAAACGACTCAATGACTTAACTGTATTTGAGAATGGATGAAAAAAGAGCTTAAGCTGACTCTAGTGTGGTTTCCTGCATAGTACCCCTGGCCTTGTGTTCACTCTAGTGCAGGGCTGCCCAAGCTGGGGCCCATGGGCCACATTGGTCCCTCTGTGGGGTCTAATGTGGTCCTGAAGGGGTGGTGACATTAGGAAGGAGCCTCTGTTTCCTTCAAAAGACCAAATGAATGAAGGTTTAATTGTACCTGTCTGCTGCTCTAATAAACCTGTTTTGATCAGCGCACTTTTAGATTTGGCTCTCAGAACATCAAAATCATTTTGTCCCACGGATCAGAAGTTTGGCCACCCCTGCTCTAGAGCTTAGGAGGGTTAGCAGGAGAGAAGGTGGAGCGCCATCTACAGGGTTGATGGTGTGATCCCTCCTCTTTTCATTGTCAAATGATTTCAATGAATCATATTTTATTCATCTGCTCCTTCTGCAGGTCTCGTTGATTAATCCTAGTTTTTCTGTTCATGTAAAATGTTGCGTTTTATTTATGTACGTATGTGGCCATACATACAGAAAAACCGGGGCAACAGTAGCTCAGTTGGTAGAGCATTGGCCTTTGGGCCTGAAGGATATGGGTTCGAGCCCACCGTAATACCTATGACTCCCACTGATGACTGCTGTCATTGTGTCCTTGGGCAAGACACTTAACCCACATTGCCTAGAATGTGTCTGGTGTGTGTTTGTGTGAATGGTTGGTGGTGGTCGGAGAGGTTGATGGCACATACTAGTTGCCTTGTTTCTGTGCCCCAGGGCAGCTATGGCTACAGTAGGTGTTTATCACCACCGTGTATGGAAGATGTGCAGCGTCTTAGTCTCCTTAAAAGCACTGTATAAAACACATCCATTATTTCTATTATCATTATTATTATTATTAAATACTATCATTTGCTGGACAGGAACACTGCTGTCTGACAGAGTTACAAGACAAAGCCTGCAGCTGATGTGACACATACAGAGTATATATTTTACAAACACAAATATGAAATTATAATGTCTCCTTCACTCACTCATACACATACAACATTTAGAACTTAAGTGTTCATAACGTGTCAGAGTGAAGAGTCTCTGTGGAGATGGTTCTTTGACATTATTTGTTCATTTGGGTCTGTGGACAGACACTGTCAGCTTTGACAGCACTCAAAAAGACAGGTAAATATCATCATGTTAGATAGTTCTTATAAAGTCCTAGTATATGAGCACATGAGACTTTAACTGACCCTGAGTCATCGTCAGAGATGTCTTTAAGTCTGTTTTCAGATTTGTTTTTCCAGTTGGAGACAGGAGTCCGCAGCGTCCTGCGTGTCCCGGTGAGTCAGCCTCAAAACGTTATTGAACTCACCATGAAAGAACGACTCAGTCTGTTCCCACTGTTCACAGATGGACCTGCCCCTGATGGAGCTGTCCCTGATGGAGCTGTCCCTGATGCAGCTTTCCCTGATGGACCTGTTCCTGATGGAGCTGTCCCTGATGGACCTGTTCCTGATGGAGCTGTCCCTGATGGACCTGTTCCTGATGCAGCAGTCCCTGTCAATAGGAGCATCCGTGAAGCACCAGTGTCCACATCAGAGGAAGATGAACAAATCCACACAGACTTGACTCATTCCCAGTGAGGAGCCTCCTGTGTCGTCTGCTGCTCTTCTGAACTACAGTCTTAACACATTGGTTTGATTAAGAAGGAAACCTGAGGAAGATCTCCAGAGAACTCTGAAGCCACTGGAATGAGACGATTTGACTGGGAGAGTTTGCAGCCGAATGTGAAGCAGCTGGAGTGAAAATGAGTCCCTCCAAATCCAAGGCCTTAGTTCTGGACTAGAGAAGGAGGACTTTCCCTCTTCAGGTAGTAGCACGGTCCTTCCTCAGTGTGGATCTAAAACTGTTTCTAGAGCATGTGATGATTGTCTCTGGGTCCTGTTCACAGAGAGGGAAGGATGGAGCCTGAGAAAGACAATGCAGTGATGTGGCTGCTGTTTCAGGCTGTTGTGGTGAAGAGGGAACAGCGTCTGCACTCAAAGCTCTGGATTTATGGTCATAATCTTTGAGAAATGGACAAAGGAACAGTTGAATAGAAATCCCTCTACTTCAACTGGATGCTTTCTAAGAGATAAGATGAGGAACTTTGTAGAGAAAAAACACTTTGAGGAGGTGAGGGGAGGAATCTCTTGAAAGTAGAGTTTTAAGAGATACGTGCCAAACTCAAATGAACATCTGCATTATTTGCTTTTCATTACAGGAATCAAAGGCCAGTGTTGGAAAAGTCCTCCTCTTCATCTCAGCCACATTTTCTTAATCTACAACTTTCAGCTCCAGCCACATGTAGTCCACAGAACACAGATCCACATGTGTAAGTCAATATCTGAGAAAACAGCTGTTCACTTTGTGTCTGTACATTAGAATAAACTTGTATTTGTCCAAATGTAGGATCTATTCTTGTGAGAGGGACCTGTGGATGCTGCTGTCCACATCAGAGGAAAAGAGGAACGAATCCTGCCCCACACAGAGACCAGACTCATCCCACGTGAGAAGACCTTCTGAAGGCCTCGGACCAACGGTGAGCTGTGTGTGAGGTCCAGAGAGGCAGAGAAAGGTGCAGTTTTAACCAATGTTCATCGGTAGTAACTGGTGTAAAGCTTGGCAGTTAGAGTAGTAGTAGTAGTAGTAGTAGTGATTGTCTTGAATATGTAAATCCCTGAGCAGAAAACAGAGATAGAAGAAAGCTGTGTGTAAAAAGTCTGTGTATTCTGAAAGGAAAAGGTGCAGGTTTCAGGGATGAAACAAGGATGGCTACAATATTTCTAATATTTTGTTTTTATTTCTGTTGTAGAACTGCACATTGTTTTGTCGGATTGCTAGATTGCGATCTAAAGATGCAAAAGCCAGTGCTAGTGTCTTTGGACCTGTAAAATGGACTTCAGTGCCTCTTGGTAACCTGTGATGTCATTGGATCTCATACCAGAGCCACAGACACGGAGCAAGAGCAGCCTCTCACAAAGATGTACAGGCAGCCCCATGATCTTGAGGGCTATTTGGACCATCCATCAGCAAATTTAGAGCTGTTGGATGGTCCAAATCTACACAGTGGTCATGTAAAGACACTGCTAAACCACGAAATAAGCTTGTGTTCATTCACCTGGACACAAAGAAAGCTTCAGCACCAAGGAGAGCGACACCCCCTGCACCTGACCACAACCCAGCAGTACACCAGAGGAGATAAGATCAGAGCCATGTCTGCTGAGAGCCAACAGAAGTAGAAGTTACAACACAGGTGAGAGCTAAGAACAGCAGCAAATCTTCATGGGGATTTTCAACAAGATTCCAACAGTGTAATTGTCCTGTCTTTTTGTGTCTGTGCAGGAAAACAAATCTGCAGATCAGAGCGCTTGTTTGGGGACGGTGTGTGGACTGAAGAAAGAGGCCTTGCCCTCTCCAGGTGGTGTAGAGGCTCCTCTGTGAGGGGAGGAGTTCCAGTATCTCAGGTCTTGGTCAGTGTGAGGGAAGGAGCAGCGTCTGCAGTGATGCTGTCGCTCTATGGGACTGTTGTGATGAAGAGGGAGTGAGGAGCTGGCCTGGGATCACCTGTTCCAGCTGCAGCAGGTGAAGAGGGAAGTCTCTCTGCTCAGACTGCTGCCTCCGTGACCTGGCCCAGGGTAAAGTTGAAGAAAGTGTGTAGATGGATGACTCCAGACGAGCCCAGGACAAGTGACCGAGGGATGGAGAAAGTTCAACAGAAGACCGCACTGCGGGAATCCATATGTAGTCACATTAAAAACCAAACAAATATGAAGCTTATGCGGATGTTCAGACTGAAAGACCGAGTGCCTGCCAATCACACAGCACGGCCAGCCTCCTGCCAACCCTCTCACAGCAAAGCGGGCAGTTTAAAAGGCAGCCACTTCCTGACAAGCAACGCTTCCTGAGGCTCTTAAACACCCACCACCTCCCCAGCACCCCCTCTGGCTCCTGCTCTGGCTCTGGCTGCAAGTGTCACTGCCGGGGTCAATGCGCCAAACAAATAAATCATTTTTAATGTATTAATTGTGTCTTTGGTCTCTTCAGATTGAAATCACTGTTTGTGTTGAAGTGCAGTGTAACATCTACCCAACAGAGGGCGGTGACACATTCTTATATAATAATACTTCTTCTGA